TGGATGGATTTACGTCTGGGTTCTCAATTCTCTTTCATTTGTCTGTGTGTCTTTTTTTGTACCAGTACGAGGCTGTTTTGACTACCATGGCTGTATAATAGGTTCTGAGAACAGGTAGTGTGATGCCTCCTACTTTGTTCTTCAGTAATGCTTTACTTATCCAAGACCTCTTTCCTTTCCATTTAAAGTTGGTGATTAGTTTTTCCATCTCATTAAAGAATGCTGTTGGAATTTGGATTGGGATTGCATTATATCTACACATCGCTTTGGGTAGTATCCACATTTTCACAATGTTAAGACTTCCTATCCATGAGTACGGTATGTTTTTCCATTTATGTAGGTCTCTTTTGGTTTCTTGCATTCACCATTACTTTCTATGTGTCTTAATCAAGCCACTCGATTTCTCTGAGCCTCTGTTACCTTATCTGTAAAACTCGCATATTTTTACTTGCCCTGCCTCTTGAGGGGAAAACATGACACTGGATATAGAAGCACTTTGTGAGGAGTAAATTCCTCTGCATGTTTAGTTGTAATGACAGCTAACGTTTATTAAGCTTGTTATGTGTCAAGCTTTGTCTGCATTATCTCATTTCATCTTCACAAGGACCTTATGAGATAAGTACTATTATTATCCCTGTTTAACAGGGGGGAGAAATGAGGTGTGGGGAGTAAAGTCACTTGCAAGATCACAGCTGGTAAGTGGCAGTTAGAATTCAAAGCCAGGCAGGCTTGCCCAGGAGCCCACACTATGGTGTAATGCTTCAACTGAGAGAAGTGACTGACGCAGTTACTATTTATTGAGGGCCTACTCTGTGCTAGTTTCCATGCTAGGTGCTTTCCACTCACCGTTTCACTTAATCAAAACTTCATAACAACCATGAGAGGCACATACTATTAACTAATTTACAGATGAGGAAACTGAAGCTAAATGACCTGCTGAAGGTCACTTGATGGGTAACGACAGAGCTTGGATTATGAGAGATGCTTATTGTTTGAATTCACTCTCTCTGACACTTGGATAGAATGTTGTGGTAGATTGCATTTTCCAAAGAGGGCACACTTCTATATCTATCCTGTCTTACATGCTCTTCTTACATATTATGGACACTTCACACACTAAGAGGTGGGACATATGTTCCTTCTCCTTGTACCTGAGGGGAGGGGCAGGTGATTTTTCCAACCACTGGAGCCCAACAGAAGTGATGCTATGGCACTTCTGAGACTAGGTCATTAACAGGGCACAGCTTCTGCTCTTTCTCTCTCTCTTTCAGGATGGTCATTCTTGGAATTCAGCCACCATGTTGTGAGGAACTCACATGGAGAGGCCAATGTAGGTGTTCCAGCTGATAGCCCCAGAAAAGGATCCCGCTAATAACCAGCATCAACTGCCAGATGTATGAGTGAGCAAGCCTTCAGATGACTGCAGCCCCCACCAACACCTCACTACAACCTCATGAGAGACATCAAGCTAGAACTGCCCAACTCCACCTGCTCTTGAATTCCTGAGAGAAGCCACTAAGTTTGGGGCAACAATTTGTTATGTAGCAATATATAATCAGATGCATAGGAAATGGTACTAAGAGCTAAACCCAATGGTATACCTTTTCGTGGGCACTACAGTAACCTGTTCCCCCTTTGGCAACACCCCACCCCCTTGAATGAAGGCCCTGATCTGATCTCCCCAGCTCCAGTATAGGGTCTTCCTGCACAGAGTAGGCAATATTAGTGGGAGTATTTTTCTCTACCAGTTTCCTTCAGGTCAGTCCCATCATTGTCGAGGCAATGGGAGACAGTGAGGAGACAGTGACAACTTCCTCAACCCCGAGAAAACCACCAACGACTTTTTTGGTAAGAACTGGAGTGGATCAGTGTGGGGAATCATAGGTGGTTACGAGTGGTTAAGGGGATCAGGAAGATCTGTTTTCAAATTCCAGAGCCACCATTTAATTACTGGGTGACTTTGGTCAAGTCACTTGCCTCTCTGCATCTCAGTCTCCCCAGCTGTAAAATGGGGATATGAGGAGACCCTCTATTACAAGGTAATTGAAGGATTCAGTGAGGTAATGCACATAAAGCCCCTGGCTCATGAGAAACCCCAATGAAGGACTGTGATCATGGGAAGGGAATTTCTTAACACTCTAATGGAGCCTAGCAGCCTCTTGAGAATTACTCTGGGATTTGTTTTTAATACTGTAGAAACTGGAAAGGAATGGTCCCCTCTCCCTAACCCTAAAAACAAACAACAACAACAAAAAAAACCATTGCGTTGAATCAATTCTGATTCATGGTGACCCCATATGTCACAGTCAGCTGAGATCTATAGGGTTTTCTTGGGTGTAATTTTTATGGAAGCGGATCACCAGGGCATTTTTCGATGGCACTTCTGGGTAGTTTCAAACTGCCAGCCTTTTGGATAGTAGCTGAGCACAAACCATTTGTGCCACCCAGGGACCTCTCCGAACCCTATGCCTGGGCTTTTTTGGTGCACGTTGGAGGTAGAGAGGAGGCCGTGTGGGGCAGAGTGGGAAGGAGGGAAGGTCATTAACAGCCTTCCGTGAAGGAGACAACCCCAAGGAGCTTTGCTCTCATCTGTTTTTCTATCAGGCTGTCCAGAAACCCTTGTTTGAGAAGAGGGTTCAGTTTGAACCCTTCTGGTATGACATGGATTGCTGATTCCCAGCCTCATCCCCACCTCCTCTAGTCACTTTCCAAAAAGCCAGTTGTCATTGGGTTGATTCTGACTTACAGTGACCCCAGGAGTGTCAGAATAAAACTGTGCTTCACAGGGTTTTCAATGGCTGATTTTTTGGAAATAGATCACCAGACCTTTCTTCCAAGGTGCCTCTGGGTGGTCTTGAACCTCCAGCCTTTTGGTTAGCAGCCGAGCATGTTAACTGTTTGTACCATCCAGGGACTCCAGTCACTTTCAGGAAGGACCCTATAAAACGCCACACTTGGCTGGGTTTGAATTTCAAGTGTGTGGCTTAGGTTAAGAGGGATCTGGAGTCAGTCCAACTCATGTTTGAATCTTAGCTCTGCTCTTCACGTACTGGGTGATCTCAGTCAAGTCGCTTCTCTGAGCCTCAGTTTCCTCTTCTGTAAAGTGAGGTTAAAGATTGCACCTCGTGTGTAGGGCTATTATGATGGCTGAAGGAGTCTCATGAAAAGAGCTTATCTCTAATGTCTAAGAAATAAGCCAAGTGGTTTTCAACTGGCTTTTAACACGATCAGCACAGCACCCTGCAGCCAAAATCAGGAGACCCAGGTTATCATCTCAGCACTGCCCTTTCCTCACCAGCTGGCCTTGGCAAGTCACACCCCCACAACTTAGTTCCCTCACCTGTGAAATGGGAATCCCAGTTCCTCCTGTGTCTCACAGCTATGAGAGGAAGTCAAGTGAGATGCTTACTACAGCATGCTTTTCAACTCTCCATTGTTGTGGGGGGGGGGAGGGCGGTGCCCAAGTCTGGGAAGGTACATCTGGGCCTCCACCTGGATCCTAGAGGTTAATGGCTGCATGGGGTTCAAGGACCCAGGAGTCACAGCCTGGGCAAAGATTTTCAAGCCCAAACTTGGCCTCTCAAACTGTAAAGTTGCCTAACTTCAGAGAACAGTAGGGAGGGGAGGGCATTTTACTCATCTTTGTATCCTGGCACATAGTAGCTGCTCCATAAAAATTGCTGGATCAAAGATCGAATCTGTGGCCCAGGATAGGGTAGTTCCAGGAGGGGACATGAGCTGGAAGACTTTTCAGTTCCAGAAACCGGGGAATGAGGTCCTGATTGGAGCAGGGACAACAGTGACAACAACTTGGAGGGGTGGCCATGGCAAGACTGGGCTGAGGGATGTGGGCAGGGAGGGGGAGGACGCAGACAGCTCGAGAGCTTGGAGGTGCAGCCTGAGTGGCTGGAAGGGGGATGCAAAATTCTTCCGGGTCGGGGGCAGATGAGTGCCACAGGCCAACAGATGAGATGTCAGCCTTCAGGTCGTGTAAGGAGGGAGGTAGGGCTCCAGAGGGTCAACTCAGGGCAGAGAACAAAGGCTCCTAAGAGCTGGGTCCCAGCAGGGCAAATGCCTGGCTTGTATTTAGCAAGCCCAGGTCATGCCAGCTTCTGTCTTTGTCCTTTTCCGAGTCACCTCTTCCTGGAAACTGGCTGGGACTGGGATGTGACAGCTGAGTTGACTCTCACAGTTGGCTAAAATCTTGATGCAGGGGAGGGGGACAGACTCACAGGACTTGGGAGAACCCTTGAAACATGTGACAAGTAAGTCAGGCCAAACTGGGTTCAGGGCTGAGCATCAAATACCTAGATTTTAAAGCCAGCTCTGTCCCCGGCTTATTGTGCGCTCCTCAATGAGCCTTGGTTTCCCAGGCTGTACGATTAAAAAAAAAAAACCCAAACTTTTGCTGTGGAGTCAATTCTGACTCATAGCAATCCTATATGACAGAGTAGAACTGCACCATAGGGTTTCCAAGGCTGAAATCTTTATGGAAGCAGACTGCCACATCTTTCACCCGTGGATTGAACGATGGGGTCGAGCCACCAACCTTTCGGTTAGCAGCTGAGCATTTAACCATTGCATCGCAAACGGCTTCTTCCAACTACACAATAGGGAGGGTCCCTCACAGAGACTCACCCCAATCGACTGCAGGGAAAGTGAAATTTTTTATTGAGAGTGTAAAGCACGAAGTGTGGAGCCTGTGGAGCCTGGCGTGGAGCCCGCAGGCCCTCAGTCTTAGAGGTGACCTCCTTCCCTCTACCAGGGCTGACCATGGACCATGGATGAGATTGTTTGCCAATGAGGTGGGGAGGGGGCGGGCAGTGGCTGGGTCCTTTCTTGAGGTGGGGGCACTTGGGGAAGGGGGTTGGAGGGCTGGGGAGGGACCTGTCCTGGAGGGCTTAAGAGACCTCAGGCTCGGGGTCTGTGTCCAAGCTGAGCCTCTCCAAGGCTCGGTCTGGCTTCTTCCGGGGCTGCAGTGGCATCTCTGCCTCTGTCACTCAAGCACTCAGCACCAGAAGGTCCTTGGAGGGCAGAACAGAGAGCCTGGTTAGTGAGTGAGGGGCTTCTGGCTGCAGCCTCAGCCAGGCATGCCTACCTTTGGATTGAGCAAGGCACGTTTCTGGAAAGCAATAACTCTGAGAAGTGGGGAAGACTGAGGTCAAATGGGCCTAATGATCACCCTGGCTGTGTCATCTGCTTGCCTGGACAGAAGTCACTTCCCTCTCTGCCCCTCATCTCCTTATTCCCCAAAATAAGAGAAGGGGGCCTGAGCCCTTCTCTACACTCTTCCAAAATCTACTTTTCATAATTAAAAAAAAAAAAAATTCTACAACAAAATAAATAATAAGAGTAATGAATTATAGAACAAAATAAATATTCGTGAGTCGCTGCTCACATTAAAAAAAAAAAAAGTTGAGGAAAGAAATAAATAAGGAAGAAGGGACAGCTTTTCCTTACAGTAGAATTCCAGTGAATAAATGTAAAAGGAGTTATAGAAATAGAAAATCACCATTAGGCAGACACCACAGTAGTAACGGTTGCAGGCAAGAACCATTAATGAATGCCAAAAATAGTGGGAGAAGTATGATGAGAAACAGGATATTTTGATAGCCTTCCCCCAAGATACTAATTAATTTCAAAGGGAAAAATGTAAGTTTATAATGGAAAACCTGGCAGGAACCACCTTAACTGTGTGATCAAGGTCAACATCACCAGTGATAAGACACTGACATCATGTGCCCCTAAAACGATGCATTTGGAAAGGCACAGCTTCACCTCTGTGGTGTTCTTGCCAAAATGCATACCCTCAGTCTAATCAAGAGAAAACACTGATTCTATCAGACTTGTTAGAAAAGTCAAGGTCATAGAACAGAAGGAAAGGGTGAAGAATTGTTACAGATTGGAGGAGACAAAGGAGGCATGACAACTAAACACAAGGTGGAATCCCGGACTGGATCCTAAATGAGAAGGGACATCTGTGGGAAAACTGGTGACTAAGGTCTGCAGATTAGGCCATAGTTTTGAGTCAGTGTTAATTTCCTGGTTTTGATCATGGAACAGTGAAACCTATGAGAGCTGGAACGCGACGGGACGGCCTTATTTTTCCAGGTCTCGCCAGCTTTCTGCCTTTGACACGTGCCGTCTTACCACTTTCCTCTCACTCTCTATAAGTGGAAAATATTTGAGTTTTCCTTCTCAGACAGGTTTCGGCCTTACATAGCTTCCAGTTTTGGCAGGTTTTACTGTGTTAATCTGTAAAATGCTAACATTAGGGGAATCTGGAACTCTCTGTACTGTTTTTGCAACTTTTTTGTAAGTCTAAAATTATTTCAAAATAAGAAGTGAAAACAAACAAAAACTTCTATATCCATATAATAATAATAATATTAGCTACCATTTACAAGGGGCTTACTAGGCCAGGTACTGCCTGAAATCTTCTTATAAACCTGTGGTTCTCCACCTTCATATCATTCTATTACAGATATTTGTGTTATCCTCTTTATTATTCTGAAATAAAATTCATAGATTATATGGCCTACTTACACCTACATTGTAAAACCATGTATAATTTTCTGACTGGAATATAAAGGAGAAATAAAAGATAAGTAATTTATAACAAAATGATATGTATTTTGTGCTCAAGCACAATCTACTCCAGAAAGAACAACTTGCCCCCCACCAATTTCAAAAATGTCCCGGGGAGGTGGTGGGGACAGTGGGGACAGTGTAGTGCCCATTGAGAACCACTGGTTTGAGTTGTCTCCCGTTATTTTGGTGCACACCCTAGCACCAGCCTTCATTAGCTGTGTGACCCTGAGCAAGTGGCCTACCCTCTCTGATCCTCAGGTTCTTCACCTATGATGTGAGGGCAAACATCAACCAGGGCTGTCGTAAGACCAAAACACGTGTGTGGGTCAACACACATGTTGAGTAAATGGTAGAAATGATGCTAATGGCAATAAATGGGCACCAATCCCATTCATACTTCCTAGCCCCTCTTTTTAACGATCAAATGCTTTATCTCACTTAGTTTCTCAACACAAACTCCACAAGGTGAGTATTGTTTCCCCATTTTCAGAGGAGGAAACGGAGGCTCAGAGCAGTGTTGAGGGCTTGCAGGTGCTCAAGAGGTGGAACCAGGTTGGGAACCCCTGGGGGCTGGCCCAAAGTTTGCATCTGACCACTGGCTACACTGCCCATCCAAGGCCATCGCCCACCTCCCTCGCATCTTCCCCATCATGTGGAGGAGCAGCGCTCCCTGGGCCCAAGTCTAGGCCTGGCAGGGGTAGGAGATGCCGGGTACTCTGCACACTGCTGGTGGCAATGCAAATGGGTGCAACCTTTTGGAAAGGGAATTGTCAATCTGGGGTCAAGTTCCAGTCATTCCACTTCTGGGAATCTGTTCCAAAGAACTAAATCCTGGATCCAGAAACAGTTTTGTGCACCCAGGTATAATGATGATACTGATAATGATGGACATTTCTAGAACACTTACGATGTGCCAGGGATTGTGCAAGGTGTTTTATACACAGAGTCTCTTTTTATCCTAAAAGTAGCCCAATAAGCAAGTACTATGATCAGCTCCTTGTTACAGAGTACGAAACCGAGGCTCAGAGAAGTTAAATAACTTGCCCAGGATCATTCAGCTGGAAACTGGCAGGGCCAGAATTTGAACCCAGGCCGTCATGCTCCAGAGCCTCATTCTTTAATCTCAGTGATCTCCTGACTCCCTGATCAAAGCCGTGTTTAAAAATAAACGCCAGAAAGATTGGAATGAAAAACATCAGAATGTCTCAAGTGGTGATGTCTGGCTTGCATATGTGTCTAGGAGGACACATCCACGTTGTTTAGTATTTTTTCTCCTCGGTTTCCCAGATTTCAGATACTGAGCATACGTGGTTTTTATAGTAGAAACAAGAGTCCATACACTTGAACTTCAAGTCATGACCTGTCATGACTATAATTAGGTCATTACTTCTGGAATATTTACCCAAAGTCCAGTCTCCCCACTGAGCAGAGAGAGCGTCTCAAGGGCTAGGCTTGTATGTAACTTGCTCACTGCTGCAGCGCCTTGCACAACATCTGGCATACAGTAGGTGCTCAAAAAAGTTTTTCCAGTGAACTAACTTCACACTTACTTTGAGCAAGCCCCTTAGCCACTCTGAGACTCAGTTTCCCCATCTGTAAGATGGGCTAATGATACCTGCTGTGAGGTTTAAGTAAGCTCATGATGTGAAAAGATTCCTTTAAGGAACCTTTGCAGCTTTCTTTCTTGTTCCCTCAATCCCATACTTTGAAAGAAGAAACTCCTGATCTCCCAACCTTTCCTTCCCCCCTCACAGTTTGCGGCTTGGCAGCTTGCAGTCCCCAAGGCTGATGGACAAAGGACATGGAGGAGAAAGCAGAACAGACCTCTAGCTCCCCTTACCTCCAGGACCTCGATGTTTGCATTGCTGAAGTCGATGTTGAGGATTTTGGGAAGAGGGACTCCAGAGCCCAGCACAGCTGTGGAAAAAACAGTTAGACACGGTCAACACAGCCAAGGGGTGTCAGCACAGGGGAAGTCGTCAGTATTTACAAGAAGACTGGGAATTTCTTTCATGCCTCTAGGCTCTTGTCCTTGCAGTTCCTTCTTCCGGGGGCACACTCCCTGACCCCTGCCTCCATGGTGAGATCTGAGCCTTCCCTGAGACTCTGCTCAGAAGTCATCTTCTGGGTGAGGCTTCCTGCGGGCTACTCCTCCACGAGAGAAACTGCAGAACATTAATTCTCTGTTTCCACATCTGCCTCCCCTATCAGACTGTGAGTTCCTTGTGGATAAGGACTGTGTCCCCAGCATCACCCAGCCCTGGGCCAGGCACTCGGGAGAGGACAAGTGATTGCTGAGTAAAAGAATGGAAAAATTCACCTGGGGCCCCAACAAATGACCACCGTGCTGTTTGTTTTTGGATTGTCAGAGCCCACTTTCCAGAAGGGCAAACTGCATTTCAGTGAGAATAAGCGATGACCCCAAGTTCACACCACATCTTAGTGACCAAGCTAGGATGACAGTCTCAATTTGTGGCCTCTCGGGTCAGCCCAGCACAGTTCCTGACATCATTCTCCCCGACTGGGGAACACGAATGGGCTGTGAGACCAGTGTTTTTCCCGTGACTGACCCATGATTGACACTCCTCCACCAATCGTTCCCAGGATAAGAGTCTGTTTGAGATCAAGGGCTTCTCCAACGAACCAGGCTGGTACAGCTGACAGCGTCGGCTAGCGTGTGCTCGTCCTTCTTCCTCTCCCTTCCATCAAGCAGAAGTGGGGAGAGAGTGGTGGAGGCTGAGTAGCATGAGGGTTTGTGCCTGAGGTTTCCAATCTTAATGGGGTTATTCGGCTGTGTGACCAGCTGTCACAGGCCCAGGTGACTCTCACAGCTCAACAAGAAGCCTCTGACAACATGCCCAAGATGCCACAGAAAGGATCAAATGCGCTCAATCTATTCTGTTTATGGGGTTGGGCCAGAAATCCTCTAACTGATAACATGGCTGCCTGTGGGGAGGACTCTGGGTTAGGAGGTGGGGATGTTGGGGGAACTTTAGCTTGATCTGCACGGATTAATTTTTTACAAGAATGTATTTCTGTAGTCTCTGTATAATTAAAAATAAATACACGCTTAAAAACAAAATCAAAACCTGTACACCAATGTTCACTGCAGCACTTTCCACAATAGTCAAAAGGTAGAAACAACCAAAATGTCCATCAACAGATGAACAGATAAAAACAAAATGCAGTATACACAGACAATGGAATATTATGCAGCCACAAGGAGAAATGAAGTTCGGATACATGCTACCGCATGACCCTACCTTGAAAACATTATGTTGGGTGAAATCAGTCACACACAAATGGACAAATACTATATGACCTCACTTATATGAAATAAGAAAATGCAGAGAAACCGAAGATTATTAACAGTTAGCAGGGGTGGGAAAGAGGCGGAAAGGGGGAGTTTTTGTTTGGGGGGCCTTAAGTTTATGCTAACGGTGGTAGAATATTTCAGAAAAGGATAGCAATAACGGAGGCACAGCACGGAACATGTGACTGATCTCATCGAGCTGTGAATGTGGGAGTTGTCCTGGCGAATGTTTCAGTGTATATACTTTCACCATAATAAAAAAAAATCAGAAAATAACTGTATGAAAAAAAATTGAAGAAACAAGAGTTTAGAAGGAAATAACTGCCTCTGGGAGGTGAGTTTATATGTGTGTATGTGTGTGGGTGGGAGGGTGTGTGTGGGTGTGGGTGGGTGTGGGTGTGGGGGTGTGTATAAAAAAAAAACAAACCTATAGGGTTTCCAAGGAGTGGCTGATGGATTCAAACTGCCAAGTTTTGGTTAGCAGCTGAGCTCTTAACCACTGCGCCACCAGGGCTCCATATATATATATATATATATATATATATATATATATATATATAAAACTGTTTTGGACTTTCTAAAGTTTACACACTTACAATTTTCACTCACAGACAGAATTTTACATATATAATCAGAAAAACAAAGCAATCAGCCAAACTAACAGAAAGATAGAATAAAGCAGAGGAAGCAAATAAGAAAGTTGACAGACCCTTGGGGACAACATTTGCATTCAGAGGCTTAACTAAATGAGTTTTGAATGAAGTTCTCAAAATAAATTATTGAAACAGGATAGTCGTATTCTAAACAGGCCCAACAAACCAGCAGCCACTTGATCCCAAGCCACAGGCCCTTGGGGAAGCACAGGTACCAGCTCTCACCGTTCATCGCAGGCATAAAGGCCAGGTTGAAAATCTTCCTGACAAGCACCTCCATGAGGCCAACCTGCAAAGGAAGAACAGGAACTGAACCAAGGCAGTGGGTTCACTCAGACCCAAAGGGCGCCTTGAGCCGGGCCCTGGGGCCTCCATGGACCTCTGGGCAGGTTCCTTCACCTCTCTGACTCTCAATTTCCTCAGCTGTAAAATGGGCTAGTGACCTCAGCTTGGAGTCCTTGCATGGCACAAACAGGTAAGCACTTGGCTATTAATCAAAAGGTTGGTGGTTCAAGTCCACCCAGAGGCACCTCGGAAGAAAGGCCTGATGATCTACTTCTAAAAAATCAGCCATTGAAAACCCCGTCGAGCACTCTTCTACTCTGACACACATGGATGGGGTTGCTATGAGTTAGAATTGACTTGATATCAGTTGGAAAATTGGAACTCCACTTTACAAGGATGCGGTAAGGGTTACAGGCAAATCATGCAAAATGCCTGGCATTGAGCCTTTTCGTATATTATCCCCTTAACTTCTCTAATCTTCAGTTTCCACATCTGAAAATGGGCGTGAATAATCTTTATCCCTAGAATGGTTGTAAAAATCAAATGTAAGCTCCTATTTACCCCTAGGATGGTTGTAAAAATCAAACGTAAGCTCCTATCTGTAAAATTAAGTCCCTGGGTGGTGCAAATGGTTAACATTCTAGGCTGCTAACTGAGAGGCTTGTGGTTCGAGTCCACCTAGAGGCACCTCAGAAGAAAAGCCTGGCGATCTACTTCTGAGAAATCAGCCTTGAAAACCCTGTGGATCACATTTCTACTCTGACACACATGCAGTCGCCATGAGTCAGAATCAACTCGAGGGCAACGGATTAGATGTAAAATGCCTGCCGGATGGAGCCTCACAGGGGTAAGAGCACGGGACTCAAATCCCAGGGCTGCCTCTTACTAGCTCTGTAGCCTTAGGCGAGCCACTTAAACGTCTGAGTTTGGAAAGGATGGTGTGAGGATAAAATGAGAAAAACTTAAAAAAAAAAAGCTTAATGTAGTGCTTAATGTAAAAAACAAACCAAAAAAAAGTTTACGGTAGTAGCTCAATAAAAATTCATTCATTTCACAATAAATGTTAGCTCGTTTCTCCATTTACAGTCCAGAGATTTCAGTTCGAGTCCCAACTCCGTCCCAACCAGCTGTGAGGCCTCAGGCACAGCATTGCCTGTCTCTGCTGTTGTTAAGTGCCGTCGAGTCAACTCCAACTCATAGCGACCCTATAGAGCGGAGTAGAACTGCCCCATAGGGTTGCCAAGGAGCAGCCGGCAGATTCGAACTGCTGACCTCTTAACCACTGGGCATCTGTTTCTCCACCAATACAATGAAACTGGTGGTAGCGGCCCCAGGGGCTGCAGTAGTTTGGATCAGAAAAGCTTGAAAACAAGCAACGAACTGGGTCTGACTCTTCTCTGTGCGCGTGGAAATGTCATCCAAGCCTCTATTGAGTTGGCAGTTTGTAAAAGAAAAGAGGGGCCTTTCTGAAGCCCTGGGAGGGATGGGAGATCCCAGAATGAACGAGGAGGTGAAACAGGACCAAATGCTAGAATGTAAGCATCTCAGATTCATTGCCTCCTAGACAAGCAGAATTTTAGGACCCCGAGGTTAAGAAGGGATGGAGCCCTGGAGGCACAGTGGTTAAGTGTTCAGCTACTAACCAAAAGGTCTGCAGTTTGAATCCACCAGCCGCTCCTTGGAAACCCTGTAGGGCAGTTCTACTGTGTCCTATAAGGTTGTTGCAAGTCGGAATAGACTCGATGGCAACGGGTATTTTGGTTTAGGTAAGAAGGGGGGTTAGAAATGAATCAAAACTCATCCATTTTGCAAATGAGGAAACTGAGGCCTGGAGTGAATTGTACTGCCCAAGGTCACAGGGCAAAGCGAAGCCTCCTGACTCCAGGAAGGAAGTCCTGAGGACATGGCCACCCCCACAACCTCCCTACCGTGAAGTGGAGAAATTTGGGCCAAGGGGCCCCACCCGAGGCTGCCAGTTACAGTGGGACAGCACGACAGTCGGAGCAGGAAGAGCAAGGAGTTTGTGCTCTGCCCACACTCGCTCTGTGGGCCTCAGTCTGTAGAACGAGGCTGCTGACCTCCAAGGGCCTGACAGCGCTGAGGCCTGAGTTTCCCAATTCACACTAACTCCCCAGCTCCCAGCCAGCCTCACAGGGATGCCCTGGGACTAGAAGTAGCCCTGGGGCCCGGCCTTAGGACTTACATCAAAGTTGCCCACATCTGAGGTTCTGAGGTTGAGGCTGGTCCTGCGGATAAAGAAAACAGCCTGTTGGAAGTAGCAATTACCCAAGAATCAGAAGGTTCTTGCATTTCAGTAGAAAAGCTCCTCCACCAACATTCTCATGGAGATCTCTTTTAATCTAGGGGTGGTTAATGAGAACAATGCTGATTTCCTCCTTTCTGAGCATTAACTACATACCAGGCACGATGTTAACGGCTTTAGATACCATATTCTATGTGTAAGGTTCAAATCGTAGCAACTGTGGGACAGAAGTCCCTGGGTGGTGCAAATGGTTAAGCGCTAGATTACTAGCCGAAAGACTGGGAGTTTGAACCCACTCAGAAGTGCCTCAGAAGACAAGCCTGGCAATCTGCTTCCTAAAGGTCACAGCCTTGAAAACCCTATGGAGCACTTCTACTCTGCATACATGGCATTGCCATGAGTCAGAATTGACTCAGCTGCGACTAAAAACAACAAGCTGTGGGACCTTGGCCAGATTGCTTAACCTCTCTGTGCCTCAGTTTCCTCATCTGCAAAGGGGGTGGCTGCAAGGACTAAATGAGTTAATTCACGTAAAGTGCTTAGAACTGAGCCTGGCATAAAGCGAGCACTCTGCGTACGTTAGCGATAGTCACCACCTCACTTAATCCTTACAACAACTCTGGGAGGAGGGACTGAGGCTCTGGGGGTAACTTGCCTCCGACTGGAGAGCTAAGGAGGGATAGTGCCAGGACTCACACCCTGAACCTGTGCTTTCAGCCGCTACACTACTCTGAGGAGGAAAGCTCAGGGCCTGGGTGTGAGGCCTCGCTCTGCACTGCGAGGGCCTCAGACTTGCTGCACCTGAATCTCACCTGCAAGCCTACAGACCCACCTGAAAGAGCCCAGACCTGACCTGCCTGTGGGGCAGAACATCATCTGGGACATTCAAAAGGATCAGCTCAACCTCCAGCAGGAGAGAAGCAAAGGAATCTTCTCAGGGGAGAAGACTCTCTGCTTCGAACATAGTTTATTCCTCCCCAACTTTACTCCCATCCCTCACACCTCACACCCCACTGGCCACTTCACTCCCACGACGCCAAGCTCTTTCCCTCCCCATGAAGTCTGTCCTCACTTCTCTCCTTGCCAGAAACCCTTAGTTCTTCTCGAGGCTGGAGCCTTCTCATCCAGGCTTCAGGTAGAATATTACCTCCTTAGAAACTTCTGGAAGGCTCTTCTTAGTATCAAATTATGAACACCTCCCATTGTATGGCTGGATAAATATTTGTTGTAAAAAAGACCAGGCATATGCTGAAAATTTTAAACGTGGTCTCATTTAATCTTGAAACGGAATTAATAATAATACTTCTATAGGCTGATGTCAATAATTAAATGGATTAAAGCACATTTAGGACTTAGCTCAATGTCTGGTACATAGATAACATTCAATAAATAATAGTTATTATTATCATTACTCCTATGACTCCTGTGAGGTAGGGACTGTTATCCCCATTTTCAGATGAGAAAAGTAAGGCTCAGAGAGGCGAAGCCACTTGGTCAAGGTCACACAGCCAGTTGGTGCTCACATCAGGATTTGAGCCCATACTTCTTGGCTCCAAAACCTGTGCTTGTAACCACTTAACACAGCTCTAGGTCCGACAGGCCTGTGTCAGCTCACAGCCTCTCTATGTACTTGCCTTGTGGCCTTGAGTAGGTAAATGCACCTCTCTGAGCCTTAGTTTTCCTCCTCTTTAAAAGGGGAGAATAATGGCCCTAACTTCACAGGACCGTTTTGAGGGCTAAACAAAGTAATACAAATCAAGTACCTAGAGCAGAGCTGGTACACATCGTTATTATTATTGATGCTGTTGTTGTTGCTGGCAGTAGGTTCTTTCCACTAAGCTCACAGCTTCACCCACCCTGCCCAGCTTGTGTTAGCAGACTTGGCAGTCACAGTCCATTTCCACCTTCGCAGCCTCTGGATTTGCTCAGCCCGGACAGCCATGCCAGCAGACCCCTAAGCCTTCCTGGTGAGCTAGCCACAGCCACAGCAGTGCCAAAGACGCCTTTCTGAGGAGCAGGAGACCAAGGCAGCGAAACCCCCTTACTTGTCCAGCTTGGTGTTGATCATGAGCTTATCTCCCTCCACAGAAAACATGGCCAAGAGGTCTGTGTCCTGGAGGGAAAGGGAAGAAAAAAGTGACACCTCAATCACATAACCAGCACTGTGTGCTGAGGACCCACTGTGTGCTGGGCGCTGACCAGGTGCTTCATTAACACTGAGCATGATAACATGTTGTTCTGAAGCCTTTGTCAACTCTCCTTTGAAGCTGAGACCTCCAACAATGCTCACCATGTAATGGATGATTTTTCCTTCCCTAGGAAGTTAGAAATAATAAACTGCCAACATTAACTATTGTTTACAAGTAAGTCACATTCGAGGCTGAGTGCACATTTCTCAGAAAGACAATGTCACAGTAATACCAATGATTGAGATGGGAGATGTTTACCAAGTTTATCCGAGATGCATTGGTTCTAAAAGAGAGGAATCCACTGGAATGGCCATGAAAGAAATCAAAAACATCAACAACAATAAAAAAATGGAAAATAAGTGCTGGTGAGGATGTGGAGAAATTGGAATCCTTGTGCACTGATAGGATTCTAAGATAGTGCAGCCACTACAGAAAACAGTTTGATGGTTCCTCAATAAGTTAAACATCAAGTTACCATATGACTCAGCAATTCCAATCCTAGGTATACACCCAAAAGAATTGAAGATAGGGACTCAAACAGAACAATTGTTCATGCAGCATTATTCACCACAGCCAAAAAGTGGAAGGAAACCAAAGGTCCATCAACTAATAAATGGATAGAAAACATGTAGTATATTCATACAATGGAATATTATTCAGTTATAAAAGGAATGAAGTTCCTATAGGCTACAGTGTGGTAGGCTTTGAAAACATTATGCTGAGTGAAAGAAGCCAGATACGAAAGACCAAATATTGTAGGATTCCACTTACATAAAATACCCAGAATGGGCAAATACACACAGACAGAAAGCAGATTAGTGGTCACCAGGGACTGGGGGAAGGGAAAATAGGGAGTGACTGCTTAATGGGTATGGAGTTTCTTTTGGGGTAATGAAAAAGTTCTAGAACTAGCCACTGGTGGTGATTTCACAATATTGATAATGTACTAGCTACTGAATTGTACACTTTAAAATTATAAATTTTATGTTTTGTGCACTTTACCACAATTTTTAAAAAAACACAGAAGCTGCCTTTAAAACCTGCTTCAGGTGAGCCACTGCAGATGGGATTGGGTATCATCACTGCCAATCATAACTGTCCCACCTCCTAGGGTAGGGTATAAAAGGTCCAGACTCATCCCCTCTCCAAGTAGAAGCCTTTTTTGTAGGAAAATCCCTCCCCATCCTCACCCCGCAAAATAAACAAAATTTAAAAATTGGCTTTATGGAAAAAAGCAATCTCCCAACAGATTCAAGTGATAGTATTTGTGATGATATGAATAACAATCACTGTGATGGTGGAGAACAACTGGGGGCTCTGAATGCATATAGCAGGGACCCATGCTGGCATGGGAGATCATCCTGAGGAAGGAGTGTTTGAGCTGAGGACTGAAAGATACATAAGACTGGGTCAAGTGAAAAAGGTGCAGGAAAATCAGGCCCAGAGAGGGAGTAACCTGCCCAAGCACATGCAGCTACAAGTGGTAAAGGCTGGATTTAAACCAGATCATCTGGCCCCAAAGCCAGGCCCACAGTCACCACACTGGGGACCAACCATGGGGCTTTGAAGGAGCCTGTGGTCCCCAGGAAACCACATGACTCTGTCTTGAGGCCCAGCTGAGGGCCGTCCACCCCCAGACACTCACCACATCAATGAGGCAGATGGTGGTCTCGACATCATTGGGCTGGGAGACCATGACCTCGGCTATGGCAAACACCTTCACCAGCGCCTTGTCCTTCCGCAGCGTCACCGACGGCGGGTTCGGCACCTGGATCTTGATGGTGAGTGGGCGGGACTCGGGGTACTGCTGGAATACCTGAGGACAGCACCGGGTCCAGGTGAGTGGGGGGTCGTCAGCCAATCTCTAAACACACAGCACAGGAGCCTCTCACTCAGGCGCCTTCAGGTTCAACGACATAATAGCTTGAGTCCCACGAACCCCATGCAGAGCCTCTTCCCACTGGGGGATGCAGGTAAGGTGCTGCCCTCTCTGGACCACTCATATAGGCTCCTTGTGATGATGAAATGTGATAGTGCTCACAAAGCCTCCAGCTCAATGCCCGACACGTGGAACTGCTCACAGCCTGGCACTATGCCAAGTAGGGGCTCCTGTGGGCACTGGGTCAGGGCTCGACATGGGTAACTGCATGAACCATCACAAGAACTCCATGGCGTGTTATTTTCTCCATGTGACAGATGAGAAAACTGAGGCTCAGAGGGAAATTGAGGCTCAGAGCAAATTGTCCACGGCCAGCAGGGGAGTTGAGATTCGATGCCAGGTCTGTGTGACTCAGAAGCTCAGGCCCTTTGCTATTCTCCTTCTGCCTCAGGACACCCTTCCCACAGCAAGGGAGTCCACAATTTAGGGTGTGTCTCAGAGAAATCTGAAAGCCTGGGCTGCCTCCCCCGCCTGGATTTGCTGAGGCTCCTGAGACCCAGAGTGGGAGGGATCTGAGCCTGTTTGTTGCAAATTGATTCTCTGAATTACTTAGCTTTTGGTGAAGGGACAATTCACCAAATGCCCAGCTCGCCAAGCTTACTAAATAACTGATTTATCAAAAAATATATATTTTAAGTAATACTCTTTTTAATATATTAAATAAATATAAATATATGGGCAAAACATAAAGTTGCTTTTAAAAGAAAGAGGAATGGAAACTTTTGAAAGTTTCCAAACTGTTGAAATGGAAACGTTTCCATACGCAATGCATGGCCATGCAGGTCATGGTCCTAAGAAGATTCTTCATTTTCCTGAGCACATTTAAGGCGAAGATTCTTTTGGCCAAGCTCTTGGTCAATTGGTAAACCTGGTCAATTCAACCAGTTGGCCACTCAGTGAATTCACCCTTCGGCAAATTGGCTTTCAACAAGTTGACTATCTGGTGAACTGGCTTTTTGAAGGGGATGTCCCAAACACCCCCACCCGAACTTACAGAGTCTCTAAGGATTAGCAATGCTTTCATTCATGGGATACCAGGTGGTTACTTGGCCCTCTCTCCTCACAGAGGCAGGAGACCTGGGATGTCCTCCCAGCTGTGCTCCACCCTCTCCCAGTGACGCCACCCTGGTCTGTGTCTCCAGGACATATTCCCCTGTGTCTGTCCTGAATCCCTCTTGCCAGAGACCCAGTCCAGTTTCAAGGCCTGAGTTCCTGTTCTAGCCCAGCTCTGCCACTGACACATTGTGTGGTCTCTCTGAAACTCAGTTTCCCCATCTGTAAAAGAGGTGTGGTCTTCCCTAATGGTCCCGTGGATAGGGGTGGGGGGTGATTAGAACCAAATGAGTGGTTTCTCAAAGCAAGTCATAAGCATGTGCAAACACATGGGAGTTGCTCCAATAAATAAAAGTCCAGTTAATTGAGGAATCCACCTGTCTCCTGCGCTGCCTCAGATACGATAACATTAGATAAAGTGGCTTTCAACCACGTGAGGACGATGGTGATCATTTGTTGAGTTTGGTGTTTGTTATAGATCATTGCTGGGAGGCAGTGAAAGGAGGGGGACTTTTCACTCTCTTCTCCCCTAGAGGCTGTCTCCTCCCTTGCTTCCTTCTTTGAATTCTACCCAGAACTAAACAGGGCAGATGAAAAGTTGTCTACAGTATCTGTAAATTACAGCAACCCTTTACACCTGTGTAACGCTTACTGAGTATGGACCTTTTTTCAGCAAGATGCAGTGTAAACGGCCTCGGTCCAGGGCTGGGACCAGATGGACCTTGCTTCTGTTTCAACTGTATATGGACACTAATCGGACAAGAGTGCTTTTGCTTCTTCTTCTTTCTTTTTTTTAAGATTTTGTAATTATTGACAACAATAATAATACTTAATATTTGTCAGATACCTGCTCTGTGCTAGGGTTTAGATCCCAGGTTCACAATCACCCTGTTTTCCAGATGAGGAAACTGAGGCTCAGAAAGACAGTCATTGCCTAAGGTAATATGGCTGGGACATGCTGAGTTGGGATTCAGATTCAGGTCTGTCTGCTCCAAAAACATACCTCTTCCCCCTTAAGACACCATGGACCCACCAAGTGCCTGGCCCTGTGCTGGCATCACTGCACACGCGTCATCTCCTTTACTCTCATCCATGAGCCTGTGGAATGGGTGTTAGTAACCTTTTATGACAAGTGAGGAAACTAGGGCTCAGAGATGTCAAGTCTCTTGCCTAAAGTCACACAGTGTGGAGGTGGCCAGGTCAGGTTTAAATCTGTGCAGGCTGGTCCACCACTAGAGCTCACGATCTTTCCACCTCAACCCTCTCATAGGGATCCAGCCTCCAAGCCTTTGTCACTGCACTTCCAAGGAGGGTCAGGACACCCCACTCTAGTGATGAGCACTTTCCCATCCAACCTGGCTCCTGGGATAGCTGGAAGGAAGGTGAGCCTGAAGACAATGTGACCGTTTGCCTTACATACCTTAGGAATCAGCGTCCCCAGTGTGGACGTGGTGAGTGGAGGAAGCTCTTCAAACTGCAGGACAAAAAGAGTCATTTGAGTCCCTGAGGCTATAGGGACAGACAGGAGTTGTTAATACAGTGTGCTCAAAGACAACCAGTGAGGGCATCTTCTCTACCTTAAAGAAATAGCAAGACCCCTTTGGAGGCCCTGTCCATCCAGCAGACCACATGGTCCACAGTTGACATTTTGTGTTTCACTGGCCTGGACACTTAAGCTCACCACAAACATGCCTTACTGAGCAGAGGCAAGACCTGAATTCCAGGCATTCCTGAATCTGTCTTCTCTAAAAGATGTAACTTTTTATTCAGCCAAGGTGAGCTCAAGCGAGCCCTATTTGCATAACCCAGTGTCCACCCAATTCATGACTTCTACCATATCCCTGAGCCACCTGTACCTTTATTTACTCACTTCTTTGAATTGAATTATTTTTTAAAACCTCAAATGCTCTTATTTTTAAAGGAAATTTATAAAGTTATTAAAAATGGGAAGCTAGTTCCACTTGACAGAAGAGATCATAATTTTAAAAATAAATGCAATAAAAACTTAACAGTGCCATTACATTCTAGGTGGATATTATTGTCTGCGTAGGGCTTTGGGTGTGAGACCTGTTCTTAGTTAAAAAGAGGGCACTAATCAGTACAAGAGAGGGTTGACTATGTACTGGCACCAAATGGAGACTTTCCTTGTGATGGAATCAAAGTTTGACATGATTTGTATTGTGCTTTCTCAGAGAACACTTTGTTCTTAGGAGATGTATGGTGAAATTTATAGAGTGAAATATGATGTCTCCAAAAGCTCAAATTGTTCAGAAACAACAGATAGGTAGGTAGGTAGATAGATAGATAGATAGATAGTTAGATGATAGATAGATAGATAATAGTTAGAGAGACAGAGAGAGATATGAAGTAAATGTGGCAAAATATGAACAACTGGTGAATCTAGGTAAAGGGTATATGGGTGTTCATTGTACTACTTTGCACCTTTTCTAAAGGCTTAAAATTTTCAAAAGAGAAGGCTTGGGAAGAAAAATAACTGGAGCATACCTATGGGTGGTAGTTTACGTTTATGTATCTTTTAAATACTTAGTATCCATGAAATATAATATAATATAAAAATTTATATTAAGATATATACATATATAAATATGTATTATGCTTTTAAAAAAGGATTGGAATAAAATTGAATAAGGAGCAACTTTCTCACCATGGGATTTGATGTTACTTAATGCCATGTCTGTGAACCATCTAAAATCCTCCTGGGCACTATGCTTTGGTAAACACTGACACAATTATTACATGCCCATGAATTGGAGATGAGTCAAGGGGTGGACTGTCTACAGTTTTCACTTTAAAGCAATTGTCCTGAGGCCATGGGGACACTAAAGGATCAACAGGGAGCTGTTTGCTGCCCAGCCCACTCACCCCCTGATGGGGCCATGGCTCACCATGCCATCAGTGATGTCAATATCCAGTGCCCCTTGCTTCTGCAGGAGAGTCAGCACTGAGCCCAGGAAGTTGGCAGAGATGGCCAGTTGGGAGTTGGTGTTGTCACCCATGGGGGGCAATTCTGGCATCTTCTGCCTGGGAGCTATAGCTGGCCGCCCCAGTGGATAGTCGATGAGGCCTCCTCCAGCCTCCCCAACCAGAGTCTGAGGGAGCAGAGAGTAGAGGAATCATGGGGCGGGGACACGGAGAAGAAGGGAAGAGAGATTGAAGGCTAGGGTGAAGCTCCAAATCTGCCTCCAGGATGCCTTCCCTGATTAAACCCATTGAGCCTGAGTGACTTCTTCATTTATAGCCCCCAACTCTTCTTCAATCTGCAGCTCCTGTTTTATAATCACTTATAATTATGCCATGGCATATTACCATATATTTTAGATACGTATATGACACGGATTCACTACCACCTCAGCTCTGCCATGATGAATTAGCACATTTATCTGTCTGTACAATACACATTGGCTTATATGATCTTCAAAGACCAGACTCCTCTCCATGGCCCACAAGGCACTGTGTGATCTGCCTGAGGGGGCCTCTCCAGCCTCATCTCCAGCCACTCTGTCCCTCACCCTCTGCAGTCCAGCCTTGTCAGTTGCTCACATTGCCTCACCACCCCCACCATGGGGCCTTTGCACTTGCTATTCTATTCCGCACTCTTCTCTTGTTAAGTCCCACGCATGTGGAAGGTCTCAGATCAAGTGTCACCTCCTCCAGGAAGTCCTCTTTGATCTCCCCAGATAGATAATAGCCCCCTGCTTTAGGTCTGATAGCCTTGGTTCCTTTTTCATAGCACTCATGGTCTATAATTTCATCCTTGTTTGAGTTATTCTTTGATGGTCTATCTCCTCCAATATATTTTAAGCTCTATCAGGGGAAGATCTTGTCTCTGTTATTCACTACTGTACCTCTGTCACCCAGCCCAAAGCCCTGGCATAGAGTAGATACCCATATTTCTTGAATGAGTAAGTATTTATGAATATACTAGGCATGCATATGTATATGTTCATAGGTGTGACTATGTGCAGCGGAACATATGTGTACACCTGCACCTTTGTATCTGATGGAGCAAGTGGGGGAAGCATCCAGGTTTGTGCAGCCTAGGAGAAGTATGCATGTCTGCGTGTGCCCATGTACAGTTAGGGGCCAGATTCAGTGATGTGCTGGAGCCAGCTCATACCAGCTCATGAGAGCCAATTGTACACATCCACATTCAATGACATCCCATTGGTAGCTTAAATCAGCCATGGTGGGAGTATTTACAGCATGGAAATTGGCAAACACTACAAATCAGGGCTTTATTTATTTATTTATTTAAATCATGGAGAGCCCATTGTTAAAAGCTTAATAGCACCCTACTGACCATATCATTCTTCTGGCAAACCCACACCCATAGTAGCAGCTCTAGTAGCTAGGAGCTAGCTTGTCTGGGTTCATATCCTAGGTTCACAGTTATTAGCTGTGTGATATTGGACAAGTGGTTTAACCTTTCTGTGTCTCAGTCCGCTCATCTGTAAAATGTGTTCAGTAAGAGTGCCTACCTCATATGGTTGCTGTGAGGATGGACTGAGTTAATCTACGCAAAGCACTTGATAACTGTTGGCTGTGATAATGTTTCCTAACATGGCTTCTAGAAGGTCTTCATCTAATTGAAAAAGGGTACTGTTCAAATGTTGCTTCTTAGGCATTCAGCAGCAGCCCTAGGGGACCCTCACCCATACCCTTGCCTTCAGGGAGGAGAGCTACGTTCCCCTTGCCCCAAAGCCCAGGTACTCACATTGAGGTCTAGCTCCAGGAATTCCCCAGTCACAAGCGGGAGGCTGGAGAAGGTGTACTGGACACTTCCCAATATTCCCAGAGGAATCAGAGCTGCAGGCAAAGAAGAGGGTCATAGGAGGTCTCCCTAACCCACCCAGATGCCTTCCTTCCTCGTGCCCTGCAGCTGGGAGCCTAGGTTTCAGATTCAGGCCCTGTGGAAAGAGCAAGAGCTCTGCCTCTTCCTTTCTGCAAGACCTCAGGCAAGTCACTGCACCTCTCTGGACCTCAGTTTCCTCTTCTGTAAAATGAGTTTAATGTAACACCTTGGACTATATGGAGGAGGGTCAATGATAATGATAAGCCTTGTAAACTGTAAAGCGATGTGCAGCAGGGAGGAAGGTTCAGGGTTTCACAACATGGTGCTTAGTTGAAGCTGGCATTTCTCTGACTGCTTAGTGATGAACAGCCCACCTCTGGGCTTTTCCTCCCTTATCCTTGGCCACAGAGGGAGAGCTTTTTACCTGCCTGAGAAAGCCATCCCCAAACTACATGGAGTCCCAGAGAAACAGGAGCACTATCAGAGAGAACTGCCCTGTATGGCTGTACAGGCTATGCAATACACAACTTGAGATGCTACCAGTACATTGTGGTTTTTGTGAAATGAGACCCCTGGAATTGGGCAGTGCCCAAACTACACAACCATATGGGGCAGCCCTGGAGTAAGCCCAGGAATGTTTACTAAGAGGTCCAGGAAGGGGTTGTGGCTTGGTCCTTGTTTCCCAGGTCTGAGGACCTGGACAGTCTCCATGGTGCCTCCTATTACTCGATCTCCCAGTCCCTCTGTGGTCTGAAGCCAGACCCTTCATTTTAGGGATAAAGAAACTGGGAAGAGTTTTTCCAAATTCGGCTGGCTGCCAGGCAGAGCTAGGGCTCAAGCCCAGCCCCCTGACTCCTAGTCCAGAGCTGTAGCCTCCCAGTCCAGGTGAAAAGCTCCTCCCTCTGGGACTTGGGGGGATTGGTTGGGAGTGAGAGGAAAGGCCAGACGGCCCCTCTCTCAGGCACCACCACACCACACTTCAAGAGTCTGAGGACACGTCTGCCTCCCTGCACACTACCTCCCCACAGACACCTCTATGTCCCCAGGGCCTTCCCCGGGGCTGGGCCCAGAGCAGGTGCTACTAGGTGTTGGCCAAATGGAGCAAAGCAGGAAAGACTTACAGTCCACGAGACCCAGCTGGTCATTGACAAGGCCCAGCACCACATCCACGATGGGGCAGAGCTGTGAGGGAGAAAGGGCCATGAAGTCAGTTCCAGAGATGTTGTGGGGGCCAGGGGAGGGTGGAGCACCAGTAATAATAGCCATGGTAGCTTGTAACATGCTTGCTGTGTACTAGGCACGTCGTGGGGTAGGTTCTAGCATTATTCCTATTTTACAAGATGGCAAAACTGAGGTTCCAAGAGAGTATGTGACTGCTACACAGCTAGAAAGTGTCCAAGGTGGGATTCAAACCAGAATGGTGTGATTTTCTAGCTCCATTGCCTCACTCCTTCATTAATCTGCCCCTCCACGCTCCTCAGGGTCCTCCCTGGGCTCCAAGAGCATACCCCCAAGCCCCTGGCTCCCTCTGTCCCTCTGGGTCATCTGCATGCCCCAGGGAAGGGGGTTAGACAGTGGCCCCTTGGACAGAGGAAAGTCTAAGTTCCTTGATCCCTGTCCCAGGACAGGCTCTTACCAAGTCAGGGAGGACGTTGGCCAGGACTCGGTTCACTAAGTTGTCCACAAGGTTGGGGAGAAGGCTAAGGAGAGAAGAGCAGACTGAGGACAAGGCTCACAGCCATAGAGGGCTCATCCAGCTTGTCCATGTTGGAGGTCCCTAGCCCATGGAGAACTTTAGGTGTTGGAACACTTTTCTGATAGCTGGAAGGACACTGTACTTTCACTCTGGACCAAATGGGTAGGCTACCCAGGCAAATTGTTTGGCTATTCATTCATTCAACAAACAAACGCTTCTTGAGCTCTACAGTAGGCCAGGCTATGATGTTTCCAACATTTAATGGCAAAAGTCATCTCAACCTTGGTTCCCTCCTGCTCATCTGCCCCTCTAATCGGGTGTTCACTGCAGCTTTGCATCACTTTCCAAGAAGGAAAATGAATGTATTACTTTATCCAAGCATCTAACACAGGTTTTGGCACATAGAAGGTACTCAATAAATATCAGTGGAAGGGAGGGAAGGAGGAACACTGGCCAATAAAACGTTTTTATATAGTTCACGAGAAAGGGCTGGTTATTGACGCTAAAAAGATTGGGAGACACGACCCATTTTCAGACAAGGAAACTGAGGTTCAGGGAAGTGGCCCAGAGCAAGTTCTAAGTACACCCCCAACTCTTAACTAAACCTCTTAGCCAGGTAGTTAAGGGCAAGAATAAGTGAATCTCACATGGACAAGATGCACAGATAGGCAGACAGACAGATTTGTAATCCCAGTATTTGTTTCCACAGGCCCTGCAGTGATGGGGGGTGGGGAGGGTGCATGTGTGAGGGAAGCATGGCCCAGAGTGGGCACTAATTGGTGTTGACCGAATGAAGCAAAGCAGGAAGGATCACTGACAACCTGACTCTGAAAAACTGGTCCCCACCCCACGTCCACTGAGCCCTGCCTGTCCTCTCCTGCCGGGGTTGTAGCTGGCTGTCCAATGTTGTGCCAGTCTAACAAAGCAAAGAAGTTCTTGAGGTAAAATCCTAATTAGAACATTTTCTCTGTAGCTTACTATGAATTTTGGTCTCTCTTTTAAGTGGAGTCAACTTACGGGACCTTATCTTGATTCCAATTCTCCTCGGATGATAAGGCCCTTAACAATTCATGTGTCTGTGTATGCGTGTGTGTGTGTGTACGTGTGTTAGGGGCATAGTTTGAAGTTCATTCATGTGTATTCAGGGTACAGACTATTACAGATGGTTTTCCCCTTCTGGGAAATTATCCAATAAACACATCAACATCAGTTCACGTAGGAAATGATGTGTGTAAAACTTTATTTATCGTAGCCTTGTGAGTTAGAGCAAAAGATTAGGCAAATTGAAATGTCCAGCAATAGGGGGCTGGGCAAATAAATGGCAGTTCATGCAGATAATGGAATATTACACAGCTATAAAAAATAACAAGGAAGCTGTCAATGTCCAGATACAGAAAACTCTCCAAACAGAGTAAATGAAAGAAGCAAAATGTGAAACAGGGTGTATATATAATATGCACCCATTTGTGTGACAAAGGAGGATGGAAGCTAAGAGTCTACAGTCCAGGTTTGCTCACATTTGTATGAAGAACCTGGAAGGAGACTCAAGAAAGGAATATTCATGGTGAGCTTGGAGGGACGGGGCAGATGGGAGATAGGGCTGGAGGGAGGCTCTTCATTGGGCCTTTTTGTCTTTTAGATTGTTTAACCATGTATTGCCAAATATATTTCCTAGTGAAAAATGTAAATTTAAAAATATGTAAGGTTTCCGAGTGCTTCCGTCCCCCTCCTTCCCCTCACTGGGGCCTCAGGGGCCAATTCTTCCTGGCTCCACCCACCCTGAACCAGAAACAAAGACTCAGAGAAGCCAACGTGAATCAGAAAGAGTTAGGATGAAGTTGCACGATGAGTTTTTCTGCTCCCAAAGTCTAGATAAGATGAGTGCTGGGAGGGTTGGGCCAAGGAATTAATAAGACAGAAGGGGAGGAGTGGGGGGCCAGAGGCCTCAAAGAGAGAGACCAGAGAAGGATCTCCCATGATGAAGATCATGGAGTGAAGAGAAAGGGACTCAGCTCCGAGCTGTCCTAAGTGTGCCTCGTCCAAGACCACTACCTAGGGATAGTGTACCAGCTAATATAAGGACAACTGAAACCTCTCTGGACAGAGGGTGGGAACTGGGAAGTCCCTGGATTACAAACAAATTCTATTCCTAAATCTATCTTTAAGTCAAATTTATACATAAGTTGGAACAGCTGAGTACAGTTGATATCTAACGTCAATTAGTCAAATGTTTGTCTTAGTATATAGTGTATAGTGTACATTTCTATGCATAAAAAACATTAAAGAAACACTTCCAGATACACTAAAACATCTTTAACATAATAATACAGTAATAATAAAAGTAACGTTTTGATGCGCATCACAAAGTAGCACCCATTTGTTATTACGAACCATTGTATGTACCTCGAATTTTTAATATAATAGGCTTTATGGGGGTTGGTCCATAACTTTGAGTTGTATGGTTCACAACCCGGGGGCTGCCTTACTTTATGGGGAGGGTGTGATAGAAAAAATTCACATAACATAACCAACAGGGAAACTTCCCCATGAGTTGGGGCACCAATGGACACACTACCCCGTTAGATACATATTCATAAACTCTTGAAATGTGTCAGATTCTACACCAAGTGTTTTACATTCATTCTCTCAATCCCCAAGGGGAAAAGAAGTACTCCCATTTCACAGATGAAGAAACTGGAGCTCAGAGAAGGCAACTGAGTTGCCCACTGTCACACAGCAAGGAAATAGTAGAGTCAAGATTTGAACCTGAATCAGTTTCTAGAGCCTATTCTCTTAACCATCATGAATCAAGATTGCAATCAGGATTGCAAAGCTTCAGGTGTGTATCATCAAACTATTCTCCAAGTTGGCTGAAGCCCCACATCCTGGGTTTGAAGGCACACCCCCTAGAGCCTGGTCATGGAAGCGCTAGACCAGGGTCAGAGGTGAGAGTGTGAATGGCTCAGCATGAGTCTTCACTACTCCTGAAGAATCACTGCTCTGCCCACACCAGTGCCCATGGGTAGGTGAGTGGCACCATTTTGTTTGCCAAAGATAGACTACCATCCCCCAAGGCACTTCCCTGTCCAATGGTACTCACCCTCTCAGCAGCCTAACTTTGATGCCCCCCAAAAGGGTGTCACATCGCTCAATGACCAGCCGAGGAGAACCTGTGCCGTCCATGGTCAGCCGGACCTTGGCCGTGATGTTCACTTCCACCGCGATGTCCAGGAAGCCAATAAGACTGGATGAGACCAAGAGGCCAGGGAAACAATGAGTTACACTCTAACAGCCAGACAGTTCACACTATCCAGGCCAGCCCGGCACCTCTCCACCTCAGGCTTTTGCCCTTGCTCCCTGCCATCAGTTATGTCCCTTGCTCATTTTAGGGGTCCCAAACCAGGAAAACTTCTTTCATCCCTAAAGTCAATAATAATAAATGAAGTCTGTGTATAAATTCTGGTTTCCAAGGTGACCACCCAATCACCTAGCTTTGTAGACATGACCTCATACCATGGGGATAAATCTATGCAGAAATTCACCCTCTGAGGTCTCCTAATAAGCACCTGCTCTATGGCAGGCGGAGCCCTGGTGGCTCACTGGTTAGGAGCTCGGATGCTAACCAAAAGGTCAGCAGTTTGAATCCACCAGTTGCTCCTTGGAAACCCTATGGGACAGTTCTACTTTGTCTTATACGGTCACTGTGAATTGGAATTGACTTGATGGCAACAGACTCTTGGTTTTCTATGGCAGGCACTATTCAAGGAGGCATTTTGCTTGCCTCCTCTCACTTACAGCCAGAGCCACCTGGGAAAGGAGGTGTTCTTATTATTCCCATTTTAGGGGAAGATACTAGGCTTCACTGACATTGAGATTGGCCCAAGGTTATGCAGCTTATAAGTGAGAGAGTCAAGATGTGAACCTAAGCTCTCACCTGACTCCAGCCTCCCAGCTCTTAACCACCACTCTAGGCTGCCCTCACTGCTGACAGGGATATCGAGATGACCTTGAGGCAAGACTTGCGCTGGCTTATTAATCCTCATGTTATTGATCAAGGGACTGAGGTATAGAGAGAGAAGATGACTTGCCCAAGATCTCCCAGCGAGGACATGGGGTGATAGGGGCCCCTCCAGGGCCAAGGACACACACCTGTTCCCATTGATGGCCACGCGGGTGTACAAGCTCAGGTAGACACCCACGCCAGGCAGCAGCCGCACAGACACCCGAGGGAGGGTCAGCTCCACGATGCGAAGCCTACACGGGATGGGCGCAGAGAGCACTGGGGAGGCCAGCCCCCCCCCCCCACTAACCTGGGAAGCGCCTCCCTCACACCCTGTCTGCTCCAGTCATTCCTCCTGACTCTAGGAAGACCCGAGTTTCTTAGACAGAACTTAGGAAAATATAAAAAAGTTAAAGGCAAAAGTTACCACCATCTGTAATCCCACTGCCAAGGGACCCACCATTTACATTTCTGTATATTTCCTTAGAATCTCTTTTCCATGTAAAGATGCCGTTCCTTCTGCCTGACCCTGTCCTTCTTTGCCTGATTCTCTCCTGCACATCCTTCAGATTTCAGCTCGAGGTCCTCTACCTCGAGAAAGCCTCCCCAACCTCCCCAAGTAAGTGAGCTCCCTGTTCTCATTCTCACTGCCCCATGAACTTCTCTTGTCACTGTTACAATTGTACGATTATTTACAGACTTCTTTCTCAATGCGCACGTACCCCACCAGCCTGCAAGTTCTGTGAGGACAGGGGAGATGTATCTTTTCTTGGTCAAATATTGGGTCATGTCCCCAATGCCAGCACAGTGCCCCACCCATAGTAGGAACTCTTAATTATCTGTTTAATTAAATAATGAATATGAGGAGAAGGCTGGCACAGTTGAAATTATACATGTAATTTTAAATCCTTGGGCTTTTTCCATTTAAACTATATTACTATGACCATTCTACAGATGAGGAAACTGAGTCTCAGAGAGATTAAAAGAATGACCCAAAGTTACACAACAAATATAAAAGGTTGAGTTGGGACTCAGCTCAGACTGTTTCATGGCAAGATCCCAAACCATGTAACTTGGGACTTTGAAGATGTCTGGTCTTGACACCAAGCCCTGAAGTGTACGGGGCTCTGAAGACCATCCCTCCCCCAACCCCAGGCCTCTGGAGGTGAGCAGCCCTGTTTGTAGTTTGGTCAGTTGAGCCCAGCCCCTTCTTACCCTGTGATGCCCTGCACAGTGCTGAGGATGCCGCCCTCGCCGAGCACGCCCAGGACGCCCCCTCCTCCGAGAAGTCCTCCATTGCCAAGGAGACCTCCCCCGCCGAGCAGGCCACCTTGGCCTGACAGGATGCCATTAGCCGCCAGCATGCCCCCAGTGCCCAGCAAACCACCTGGGCCCAGGGCCCCAGTAGCCACACCAGGTGGAATTTCTCCAGGCCGAAGCTCTTGCCTGCCCATGGTTGGTGCACCCTCTGCTGACCTATACTGTCCATGGCCCCTGTGGCCATCATTCGCATTCTCAGCATTGTGGTAGTCACCATTTTGGAGGTCCCTGATGCTTCCATCTGACTCTAGGATCTTCCCATATTGGTATTTGCCTCCCTGCTGAGCGGTGTTGTCGTTGGTCTCGATATGACCATACTTGTAATTACTACCAAGCTGTTTGCCGTTGGTATATTTTGTGGGTGGCTCTCGGACATGGAAGTCATTGTAGGGAACACCACCAACACCTCGGGGGAATTCAACGCGTCTGTAGTCATCGTAATGGTGCCGGCTACTGCCCAAAAGACCACCACCACCCAAGAGACCACCACCACTGCCACCAAGCAACCCACCACCACTACCACCCAATGACCCACCGCCACTGCTACCACCACTACTCTCTGATGGCCGATCACTACTACTGCTACCTCCACCGCCCAACAATCCCCCACCACTACCACCCAAGAGCCCACCACCACTGCTGCCACTGCCACCCAATAAGCCTCCACCCAACAGGTCACCACTAACCCCTCCACCCTCACCACCAAGCAGGCCTCCCAGAAGACCTCCCCCGCCACCTCCACCTCCACTTCCACCAAGCAGACCCCCCAGGAGAGGCCCACCACCATCACCACCAGCTTTTCCCATGGGCACCTCTCTCAGGGCCGAGTGGAGGGCATCGCTTTGCTGCAGGGTGCCCGAAATGGCTGCAGAAAGGTAAAAACATCAGTCAGAACTTCCTCTCTTTCTCCCACCTCCAGCCCTTATGCACCACCCGCTGGAGCATCAGAGCAGGAGCATTGCTACACTCTCGGGACCTCACTTTCCTATCAGTATAATTGCAGAGGCCAAATGGGAAGATTCCTCCAACCAGTCTAGCTCTGACGTCCTAGGTGAGCTCAGTAGCTGCTGCGTTTTACCTGGTTAACTTGAATGAGATTTTGACATCATTCAACCAAACCTTGATGGATTCTCTTCCTCATACTCCCTTCCAAGTGCCCCACACTTTGTTGATGTTGTTGTCATTTGCTGTTGAGTAGATTCTGACTCCTGGCGTGTTACAGAGTAGAACTGCATCATAGGGTTTTCTTACTTCTCATCTTAACAGAAGCAGATCACCAGGCCTTTTCATCCTCGATACAGCTGGGTGGGTTTGAACTACCAACCTCTAGGTTAGCAGTTGAGCGCAAACCATTTGAGCCACCTAAAGGCCATCTCTCCACACTTTACAGCTTAAAAAATCTGCTTTCTCATGCATCATCTCAGCTGATTCCTGGGAGACAGTCAAAGCTAAAGTTATCATACTTATTTGATAGATAATGAAATTGAGGCCTGTGTGGTACTCAGAGACCTCTTGGATAGGAAAGATCTCATTTCCTATTCTCATGATTTCCTTAGGCAGAAACTGGGGCAGAGAGTGTGCCTCATTTGCCAGATGACAAAAGAGAGGTCCTAAGAATTGGAGGCAGGAATAATTACAGCTCCCTCTAACTGAGGACCTTCTATGTACCAGGAAATGTGCTAAGTTTTCACGGAGGTCGTCTCATTTAATTCTCATATCAATCCCCTGGGATGGGGACCATAATTACACCTATTTTGCAGATGAGGAAACTGAGGCTCAGAGAATTCAAGTCAGGGACTTAACGTCACATAGTCAGGATTTGAACCCCAGGAAGTCTGACTCCAGAGCCCAAGTTCTCGGTTAGTGCTCTCTACTGCCTCAGGAGACAGGAGCATAAAGTCCCCAGCATGGTGCTTGGCACATAGTAGGTGCTCAGGAAATGGTAACCAAAATAAAAAGGGGAAACTGAGGCCCAAAGAGGTCACCTGGTTATTTAATGTGGAATCTGTGAATGAGAAAGAGGGTCCTTCAGAGTTGGCTGGTCTGCCCTGCCCATCCCATGTCCATCACCACTGGGGGTTGGACTCACCATTGCTCAGCACCTCTTTGGTAACCCTGAGGACAGTATTTGTCTTTTGGTGGACACCACACACAGCCGCCACGGATAGGGCAGCCACACACCACGCCGTCCACATGCTGGCACTGCTTCCCTGCCAAGGAGACACGGTATCAGATGGCCGTGCATCACCACCATCAGATGGCCAGCAGGTAGAGCTAGGCACCCCCTACCATGAGCCCTATCAGGACCATGAGGCCGAGAGACAAGGAAACTGACCCCATGTCACACAGTGGGGTAGGGCCAAGAATTCCAGAAACCTCCTGCGTTTTTCAAACTGAAATGAATCTGGGGACACAAAGCAGACATCAATAACCAAACTGTCCCAGAGCAGGGATGTCTGATTATCTCCCAAGCTGGGATTTCCAAAAGGAGCCTCCAGGGGGAGGAGTAATGGAGATTTCCATGTGAAATAGCAAACCGATCACAGGTAGGCTCTGGGGGACACTCTCTAGCATCTACCCATCCATTCACCCCATCTACTCATCCAACCATCCATTCTGCCCTTCCTAGTCATCTATGCACCCATCTAGCCATCTATCCATTCATCTATCCATCTTCCTATCTCTCCATCATCCATCCATCATCCAACCAGCCAGCAGGCTGGTCTGAAGTCCATCCATCCATCCATCCATCCATCCATTCATCCTTTTATCAGTCCATCCACACATCCATCTAGCCACCCTCCCATACATCCAGCCAATAAACAAATACCATTTTCCACCTCTTTGGAGGATATGGTTCTACACCATGTGATTAAGGACTCTGAATTCTAATCCTTAGGCAAGAGACCTTACCTTTTTTGAACTCCTGCTTCTGAATCACTAACACATCATGTCTGGTACCTAGTACCAAAAAACCCATTGCCATCAAGTCAATTCCAACTCATAGCAATCCTATAAGACAGAGTAGAACTGCCCCATAGGGTATCTAAGACTGTAAATGTTTACGGAAGCAGACTGCCACATCTTTCTTCCACAGAGTGGTTGGTGGGTTTGAACTGCCAAACTTTCAATTAGCAGCCAAGCACTTAACCACTGTACCACCAATCCTCCTCTAGTACCTAGAAGACACTCAATAAACAGCAGCTATTGGTATTGTTTTTTGACTATTATTTCAGTCCCCAAGAAGTGGGTGGGGAATGTTAGGAGATTGAAGGAGTGGGTGAAGCAGTATTTTGGGACAAGCTGGTCAGCCTCCAGGAAACTCCACTATGTTGCCTCCATGCTCTTGCCCATTTCTCTCACTCCATCAGCGTGGTCTACCCATTCACCAGCTTCAGATAATCAACGCAGGACATGGCCTCTCATCAGGGTTAAACTGTGAAATTCTTGGCTTCAGCCTCCTCCACTTACGCATCCTATTCTGTTTTCCCTGCTCCCAGTTCTCTGGAAGTTCACAAAGCCCGCAAGTTCTTTCCCCACCTCCATCTGTTCCCAGGAAAAGACTGGAGCCACACATTTATACTAGAATATAAAGGATTGATACGTGCGAGGTTTGTCTTTTTTTTTAATACGGCTTCTTCACCTGAGAACTCTGTGTTCAAACAGAGATCACCACCTTCAGTTACGAAGATGGACACCAGTGGAGGGATTTCTCGTATCAGCAAGCAGCTGAGGAGTCTCAGGCAGGTAGTAAAGGTCCTAGGTACCCAACACTCCTGGGAAAAATGGGTGCGCCTCTGCCCAGGCATGTAATCAGCGTGATTCGGGCCCTTTTGATCAACCCCTGAGAGGGTCTTGTGACTATGCCCATGTTATAGGCAAGATAACCGAGGCTCAGAGAGGGGTCAGGTTTCCGGTCTGGGACCCTCCCTTCCTTGCCTTAGACATTGACACCTCCCCAGGCCTCAGCCTTCCCCTGCCAGCCCAGATGCTGAATAAGAAAGGGCCTCCTCCTTACCCCTAGGAGGTCCCCTCAGCTCAGTCCAGAGAGGTCCCCTTCACCGGGTCCTCTGCATTTGGCTGAGTCTGGTAACAGGTCGGCCTTATATAGCAGCTGGAGTCTCAGCCTGGACCCAGAGAGGGAAATATCGTGTAAGTACGAGAGACCGGAATTCAGATTTGCTATGAGAATCAGGCATTGAGCCTCAAAACCACAAGGGTTTGCGGTTTGTGGCTAATTCTGAAGGCTGCTCAGTTCCAGATGGTGTCACATGAGCTGGGGTTTATCAGTTCCTGGTCTGGGCACATTCCTGGAGACCCCAGCTAGGCCCTCAGATTGGGGACCCAGAAGCAGCTCCAAATGCATCAGGTTTCCAGCTCTAGGACAGGCAATGCCCATTCCACATGGCCTGGGCAGACGGGATGTGCCCAGAACCGGACTCAGGACCAGGTTGATCCAGGTTCAAACCCCGTCCAACCCCTAACTCACTGTATCACCTTGGGGCAGCCACTTCCCCTCTCTGAGCCTCATATGATTTCTGTCTATAAAATGGGTATAATATCGGCCTCACAGGTGTGATTGGAGGATTAAGGGAGATGGATGTGGATTCGACTCCTCAAATTTAGGCCCTGTGCATAGAAAACATGCAGATGGGCATTTTTGACCTACAGAAGGTCTCCCCCCACTGCCCCCCCAACAAAATTTCATTGTAACATTTTCACACATAGGGTAAAGTTGAAAGATTTGAACAGTGAACACCCATATACCTGTCACCTTATACCCACCGGCTACATCTACCATTATTTCGTGATACTTGCTTTATCACATATATCTACCTGTCCATCCATTAACCCGCCTTTTACTTTTTGATGCATTTCAGAGTAAGTTGCAGACAACAATACACTTGTCCCTAAACACTTCAACATGCGCACCATTACCTAGAGTTCAAGATTTGTTTATGATTCTTTTCTTCAGCTGTAAAATTTACATACAGTGCAGTGCACAAATTTCAAGTATTCATTCACTGAATTTTGACAATTCTGTACAACCATGTAAGCCACACCCCTATCACAATATAGGGCATTTCCATCACTCCAGAAAGTTCCCTCCTGCCTCTTCCCAGTCAATCTCTCTCCTACCCCTAGAGTCACTGCCCCCTCCAAGACCTGCTGTGGCTGGCTTTGTCCCCAGGTACACCCTAGACCTCTTCCTTTGGCATTCAAGACGATCTGCCTTCCACACTCAGCCAGTGCTTATTCTTTCCATTCCCTTCCCACCACCCCTGGCCTCCTTGCCTCCAGGCCTTTACACATGTAGTCCCTACTATCTAGAATGTTCTCCCAACTCCATTTATCAATATTGTCCAGAAATGTCAGCTCCCCCAGAAAGTTTTCCTTGATAATTCAAAGCCACTACCCTTCCTCTGGACCCCAGAATGAGGTGCCCTTTCTCCAGGCAAACCAGGTCAAACAGGCACGTACCCAACTCCTAGCCCAGCATAGGCACATATGCCTGTGTAGTGAATGAATAAATGAACTCTTTTACTGGGCTGGGAGGTTTCTGAGGCCTCCTTTCTCACCCCTTCTCCAGCTCCAACCCAGGTCCTCTCTCCATGTTTAATTGGTGCCACCTCCTCCACAATTCCACCTTACCTACCTGTGAATTCCTATGAGGTGGGGACATTTCTCACTCCTTGTCAAGGACAGGATGGATGTGTTGCCCTGAACCCCACAAGGAGGAGTTGCTTCTTCTTCCCTCCCTGGGGCTCTGAAAGCAGCATGGCTGACCTCAAGTCCTGCCAAGCTCAGCCAATGTCACCGTTGGCTTCTGTTTATGTGCCCCCAGGCCAGGCCCTCTCTGGAACTCAATTTCCCCATGTGTAATGGGGGCATCAATGCAACAGTTAAGAGTGCAGGCTCTGGAGCTGGTTGCTGGGCTTGAGTTCTGCTGCCAGCTCTCTCTGATCCTCCGTTTCCTTGGCTGTAAGATGGTGATTGGAACTATCTCAACCTCAAAAGGATGTTGTAAGGCTCAAGTGACTTAATCATACAGAGCACTGAGAACAGGGCTTGGCACACAGTAGGTGCTCAGTAGGTGGTATTTTTATCCTCCACATCCAGCTCCCTGCCAGCTCCACATGACTGTGAGTTGGCAAAGGCAGTGAGGGGCATGAGGAAACAGCTTCAGTCCCAGCCCTGGGCTTCTTATCCATCTCCTGGGGGGGCTAGAAGGGCTCCAGGGTGGGGCCCCAAGAGTTGCACACACTTGAGTTCCTACACCTCATCTGATCTATCAGCCGTGAACAATTACTTCTCCTCCCTGGGCCTCAGTCTGACTAACTGCAAAATGGACATAATCATGCTTTCCAGCAGAGTTGTAAGGATTACGCGAGAAATATCTAGAATGTGCCTGGGGACTTGGGGGCTCAGTAAACACCAGCCCCCTGTTTGCTCCCCTGATGAAGGCCGCCTCTGTGTAGGAGTAAATTCTGCCGACCTGATATAAGTGTGGATTTGTGTCAATGGGTTTCCTTCTTGTGCCTCAAGTGCCCCCTCTTGGGAGACTAGAAATGACATCTCAAAATGATGATAATTATCTGGGTTAAATCGGCTCCTGGTCTTCCTTTGGTTAACACTTGTGTGCTCCCCATAGCCTGGCATTTAGTAAGTGAAATAAAACCAAAAAAAAAAACAAACCCGCTGCCATAGAATCGATTCCGACTCATAGCAACCCTATAGGACAGAGTAGAACTGCCCCATAGAGTTTCCAAGGAGCGCCTGGTGGATTCGAATGGCTGAACTTTTGGTTAGCAGCCGTAGCTCTTAACCACTGCGCCACAGGGGTTTCCAGTAAGTGAGATAAATGCTTATTAAACAAATATATTACTATTGAAAGAAAATGTGAAGAAGGCAATCGTGCCTTTCCCTCCCCACTCCCCTCGCCAGCGGGAACCACTGCACACTGTAAGCTGTAGAGGGCGGTGTACACGCAGGGTGGTTATTGTCAGTGAGCCAAAGCTCAATCCTGGTCCTCAGTCCTGAGCCAGCCAGGCACTGGTGGCCATGATACCGCCTGCCCTCAGTGGCCCCCTGGCCTCCCCGAGAGGATTAATGTAGCCCTGGCGCCAGGGAGATCACCTGGGCTTAGTGTCCAAAAGGCACTTTTGTCTGGAGTTGGCCAGGGATGGGGGGAGGGACATCCGATTCCCTCAGAGGAGCCCAAAGGTGAGTCACCCATGCAGGGGGCCACACAGGGGACTGCAGACATCAGGAAACAGCCCCAGCCCTACCACCCCCCCCCTCCACTCAGCACTGTCTCCCTCCTGGACTGTCAACCCACCAAAGCCACAGGGGGGCTACCAGAGAAGGGGCTCCCTTCACATCTTCTTTTATCCACCCCCACTCCCATCCTATGTGTGCAGGTTCAAAGCCTAGGTTGTGGAGTCAGATGGGCCTGGGTTCAAATGCAGACTCCCTAGGTGTGTGGCCTTGGGCAAGTCACTTAACAATTTCTCAACTGTATAATGAAGATGGAGTCCCTGGGTGGTGCAGTTAAGTGACCGACTATTATTCGAAAGGTTGGAAATTCTAGTCCACTCAGAGGTGCCTCAGAAGAAAGGGCTGGCAACCTGCTTCCAAAGGGTCACGGCCTTGAAAACCCTATGGAGCAGTTCTTCTCTACACACATGGGGTCGCCATGAGTTGGAATCAACTTCACAGCAACTGGTTTGTTTCGGTTTTTTCTCTCATCCCTACTTTGTGCAGCCACAGTTCTCAGCATGATGAAGCAGATGCCGACCCCACCTTGGGGAACTCTTGGTCGAGTGGAAGAGTGAGCCAGAGGTGCTGACAATCCAGCGTGTTGAGTGTAAGAGAGGGAGTGAGAGGCTCCCTGGCCGGAAGCTGCATGCACCCTGCGCACTGACGATGGTGGGCGTTGCCAGGCACATTAGGGGAGGAGGATGCTCCAGGAAGAGGGAGCTTGGGCACACACGATAACACACTGATCACGCGCCAGGCCCTCTTCTCGGTACTTTGCAAGGATAGTCTCATCTAATTCTCAAACAACTTATGAGTGAGTGCTACATTATCCCCATTTCACAAATGAGGAGCCTGAGGCCACAGACAGTTCTACCCCCTTTCCACACTCCAGGAGGAACCGGCCAAGGCCAGGTCATAGGCAGCCTTGAACACCCAACCTGGAAGTGTGGGTGATTTCTTGTTGGCAATGAGAATCCAGCCTTGAGGGGCTGTTGGGGGCAGTGTGAGATGGTCAGATGAGGTTAAGAATGGGCTGGAGGAGGGTGGGGTGGAAGAGAGGCGAGTGGGAGGCCAGGGAGGGGCAGGCGTGGTCTTTGTGAGAGAGACGATGTGTGGGTGCTGGGGCAGGGATGTGGAGTGAAGAGGAGGGAACAAGGCATGGTCAGGAGGTAGAATAGTGCAGCAATAACAGGAGCTAACAGTAACTGAGTGGAGCCCTGGTGGCGCGACAGTTAATTGCTCAGCTGCTAACCGAAAGGTTGATGATTCGAACCACCCAGTGACTCCACAGAGAAAGACCTGGTGATTTGCTCCTGTAAAGATTACGGCCTAGAAAATCCTATGGGGCAGTTCTACTCTGTCATATGGGTTCCTATGAGTTGAAATCAACTCCACGGAACGCGACAGCAACAACAGTAATTGAGTGCTTATGGGCAAGTCATCATCCTGAGGGCCAATTTAGCCCTGAAAGCACCATTACTATCTTACTGTCATCTCCATAAGGAGCCTTCGTGGCACAGTGGCTGCTAACTATTTCAGCAGTTCAAATCCACCCAGCCACTGCTCAGGAAAAAGTTGTGACAGTCTGCTTCCATAAAGATTATAGCCTTGGAAACCGCATGAGCAGTTCTACCCTGTCCTATAGGGTCGCTATGAGTCGGAATCAACTTGACAGTAGTGGGTATGGTTTTTTTTTTTTTTTGGTTTATCATCCCTGTGTTACTGAAAAAACTGAGGCTCAGAGAGATGAAATGACTTACTTGGCCGAGGCCATATGGCTAGTCAGCAGCCTGGATGGGATTTTAACACAGGCAGCTAACCCTTGAGCCACTTATTTAACCACTGTGCTATCCCTGATGGGAGTCAGTAGACACCTGGAAGTGAGGAAGGAGTTTAATTAAACCCCAGCGTGGCATAGCACTGGGCCTGGCATGTAGTAAGTACCAATCAATGTAGGGTAGATGGATGGGAGGGTTGGAGGGAGAAAAGAAGAGGGCAGATAGACAGTGAATAGATGGGACAATGGATGGATGAAGCAAATGGATGAGTGAATGGGTGGGAGGATAGATGGGTGACTAGATAGATGGGTGGATGGATGATGATGGATGGGTGGATGGAAGGATAGTCTCAGGGCCATCCCTAATGGTAGATAAACCTCCAGACGGGCTCCAACTCTTCTCTGCATGTCCCTCAGCTCCAAATCCTCTGATCCAATTACCAAAACCTCACTGGTACCTCTTCAACTCAGGTCCACCCTTAAGCGCCAACTTGGAGCCATTCCCCAGAACCAAGGAGGCCCATTCTGAGAAGCAGGGAGGAGCCCAGTGCCAGAAGGCAGGATCCCCAGATTCCCATCCCAATTCTGCTGCTGTGTGGCCTTGGGCCAGTCAGGTCCCCTCCCTGACTTCGGTTCCCCCATCTGCACTAAGAGCATTTGGTGCAGCTTTGCTCCGAGGTCTGTCTTGAGGTGTGTCCACATCTGATGTACAGCCAGTGGGGATCCTTCCAGGGTAGGACCAGTCTCATTCATCCTTGCATCCTGGAATGTCGTTGTTAGGTGCCGTCGAGTTCGTTCCGACTCATAGCGACCCTATGCACAACAGAAGGAAACACTGCCCAGTCCTGCACCATCCTCACAATCGTTATGCTTGAGCCCATTGTTGTAGCTACTGGGTCAATCCGTCTCATTGAGGGTCTTCCTCTTTTTTTTTTGCTGACCCTCTACTTTACCAAACATGAAGGAATCTGGAATGCCGGTTCCTTTTGTCTCTGGTAAGCACCTATTCACCCTTCAAAATTCAGCTCAGATGCCACTTCTGAGAAGCATCCCAATGACACAAAGACAGAGAGACACAGCCTCAGACAGGCTCAGAGAGACAAAGGGATGGAGAAAAAGATAGATTTAGAGAAACAGAGAAAGAGAGAGAGAGATCAAGGCAGGGAAGGGGTTGAAGGCAGGACAGGATACAGGCTGCCCAGGCCAACCAGATAAGTTTGGGGCTCAAAGCTGCAGAGATTAGGCCCAAGTCCCCTCACTCCCAGGTGCTCCTGCCTGAGGCTGGGGAAGGCATTGAAGGCAGAGGCCCAGGCAGGCCCTGTATGACTGGAGGAGAAACCAGCCAAGAGGTACTGAGATAGGCAGGTAGTTTATTGAAAGCTCAAGACTTGCTACTGAGGCCCCAGAGCCTTTTCGAAGGCAGAGTCCTATGGCTAGCCTTGCAGTCCCCACCCAGCATGGGGCAGAGTTGCAGGGCCAGAGTGCCTAGGTGGGTCTTGTGGAGAGGGGACACTGATGCTGTCACCAACACAGACTAGAGACTGGGAGGGAAATTGAGGCAGAGTGGGCAGTGGACAGGACTCTGGAAGTCAACAGGGAAGGATGGTGGCCACCTCTCTGCCTCAGGATGCCACGGTCAGCACAACAGCATTCTGCAAGGAACGAGAGTTCTCTGTTAGACCCTCTGAATCCTTGTACCTAACACCACTGCCACACCCCATCCCTGCAGCCATCTCTGTCCTCTTCTCCCCCATCCCTGGGGTTAGCACTGTACCTGGAACCCAGTAGGCATTCATTAAATGTTTAGGGAATGGATGACTGAACGAATGAATAAATGACTGGTGTAGGACAAGTTGCTGACTTTAAGACTTAAGGAGACCCAAATTCAAGTTCTATTTCTGCTGCTAATTTACTGTGTGATCTTAGGCCAGAAATTTGACTTCCCTCAGACTTAGTCTTCTTCTGAAAAATGGGTACAGAACTCCTAGTCTGCCTACCTCCCAGGGTCATTCCAAGGCTCAAAGCTGTGCTGGGTTGAGAAAGATTGTGAGGTCATGTTTATACTGAGCAGAAAAAGTATCATGATAGATTAGCCATGTCTGCCACAGCCACAGGATAAAGGAGAGACAGCCCATGGAGTTGCCACCTCTGGACCAAGGTAACTGTGATTCTTTGAGAATCTGAAGTTCCGTCCTTGTAGACCAGAATTCAACAGGAAAGAACTCTGTGATTGATTGGCAATGTCTGCCTTGGGCAAGGAAAGCATAAGAGCACGCATATCATGTATTTGCCATCCCTGAATTAAGTACTTTTAATTCTCTGAGCAATTTAGAAAATGGTACAGGCCAGAGGATGAGGCGTAGAATTCCCCTTAAGGATTTCAAGCAGGGCCCGCTATAGACAAGCTAAAGGCCCATTTGGGCCACATCTGCATGAGAAACTCACCTCTATGATCTTCAGGGCCGCATTGGCAAAACTGACATTGAGAACCTTAGGCAGGGGGATTCCAACATCCACATCCGCTGTGAAGAGGGAATGGTTGAAAGCAAAGTTAAGTGGAGGGGCTAAGGGTGGTACATGGTGATCTATTACTACCACTTTCCTTAAGCCAGCCATTTCTCTTCTTGTGGACTCAGTTTTCCAACTGGAAAACTCCTATTCATACCTCTAAACCCAAACAAAAACGTCCCTTTTCTGTATTGTCATCACTGGCTCCCCTCAGAAAAGCCTCCTTGAGGCCTCCTCAGCCCCTTGTACATCCTGGGTCATCTATAGTCTAATCATTTGTTTATATAATTATTTCCCACTTGATTACGAGCTTGAGGACAGGACCCAGATTAGACCCATCTCGACCCATCTCAAGACCCAGAGCCCAGCATGATGTAGGTACTAATCAATGTTGTTTGAATGAAAACATTGGTGCCTCAGTTTAAGCATCTTAGCAATGGGGGGACCTCAGTGTCCCCATCAGAACAATCAACAGGGGAATAAATCAGGCAATCCTACGTTCAGATACTCCATATGTCCAAGAAGACAGTGAAGGCCACCCATACCGTTGAGCTTCGGCACATATGCTGCCCGGATCACATCTCTGAGCCATTCTTCTAAACGGGATGCCTGCAACAGAGCACACGGAGGGCTTCACAGGGAGCAGCTCACCCCTTCCGAGGGAGGGAAATCCAGCGGTCTAGCTGCCCCAGATTCTCCCAAGCCTGGAGACATGGCTCCTGGTGGCAGTAGGGCTTATTCGGGTGGGCTGTCTACCCATCACCCCAAAGATGACTCTTTGATTTAGGCCAGCATCAGCCTCAGCCACACGAGCTTGGAAGAGGCACCTTCCTAGAGGAAGGGTCTCCAGAGCCTGGAGGGGGTGGTGCCTGAGGAAGAGGGAGGGAGACTTGCCCAGCTCTAGTAGAACTCTGTGAGGCCTGACTTCAGAACGCTGTCAGTTTAATGTTCTAGAACCTGAAGCCATCATGAGATTCTGGAACCTTAGAACTCTTAGAGAAGCAGGAAACTTAGGGCTCTGTGGGGCTCTGAAATTTTACAACTTTCTGAATTTAGGAAATGTATTACTTGTGTAAAGTTTCAAATTTTGGATCCTTGTGAGGTTCTAGATGTTTACAATTCTGTGAGGTTCCAAGACCTTGGAAGATCATGAGATTCACTTTCCTCAATGATCACTGACACACACACACACACACACACACACACACACACACACACACACACACACACATACCCGCCCTGATATTTGCCCAATCTAGCTTGTTCGAGCAGAGCCCAAACTGAGGCCAACTCAACCATATGGACCATAATTCATCCCTACCCCCTTACAATCCCCACCTGAAGACCCTCATCACCACCAAGCTGCTCACCCTCCCAGGAACTTACATCAAAGGGCTGAGCAAAGGCGGAGGCCAGCTTGACATGGAGCCTGATGAAGAGGAGAGAGATGTGAGGGGCCTGGTTCCCACTACCACCTGTTTAGAGCCACCCTGCTCCCCCACCAGCTCCACCCCCAACCTGCCCCAACTGCAGCTAACAGGGATCAGGAAACAGGGTTACAGGCCCAACTCTGCCTCTATCCAGCCTCAATTCGGAGACTCGATTTTCCTGCCTGTAAAATGGATCTGGAGGGATCTACCCTCCCTTCTGACACATCATGGCCACTACCTGTGATTCCATGGTCTGACTCCCAGCTGTTTGACCCTAGGCGAGTGGCTGAACCTCTCTGAGGAGTCACCCTCAGAGTCTGAGCAATGGACACCGGGCACCCTGCATACAGCTTGCACTCACTAAAGGCAGCAACCCACTGATGGACCACAGCTGGCCTAAGTGCAGGTCCAGAGGTGGACAAGAGCTGGATACAGGCCTCTACCTCCTGAATGGCTGAGGCACAAAATTTCCCCTGGAAGAGGGAGATTACCCCAGGTGGTGGGCAAGGCCTTCTGTCCCGGGTAGAGACCGGGCAGCAGTGGGGGGCAATAGGAGCCTGACGGGCCTGAGGGGGCACTGAGATAGGGCCAGGTGAGCACTGGGTGCCAATGGCTCAGGACAGGCAGATCCCAGAGACCCCTTGGAAAGCGCTTGCATCCAGGCAGGGACAGACAGCCCCAGGCTCCAGGCCATGGTGGGAGCACTGGACCTGGAGTATGGAGGCCCAGACTGTAGACATGGTCCCACAGACAACCCAGTTCGTGAGCCTGGGCCTGCAGTGTGCTCTACAAACTGTAAAGCGCCATGTGCGTGGAATGAAGGATTGCTATTGACCTCATCACCTCCGTTATTATTATTGACATGATGCCTAATTACCATAGTGATGAGAAGAGAGATCAGAGAAATAATAAGTCACAAGACTAACAAAGCATTTTACAATATTGCAGACCAGTTTGCTCGGTGGTTATGTCTAGAGCTGATAATTCAGGAGTTTGGGCTCCATTTCCTGCCTGATTTATCTCCCAGGTCCAGGTTTTGAGCAGCAATGGGGTACAGTGGAAGAATCCCAGCTCTGGAATCTCTCTCTCTGAGCTCCAGATTCTTCATCTGTAAAATGGTGTTCCCCCAGGCAGGTCCTGAGGGCAAGGATGAAGCTGGTAGAACACCTGGAATCTAACTGATGCCCAATAAATGGGAGATGGGTCCTGCTGGTCCCTAATTCTTGTTCCTAAAGACAAGGCCCAGGCCCTGACGTTACCATTCCAGGGACAGGGAGAGGTGCAGCTTGGTAGCTGAGGGAGACAGCTGGGCATTTAGAGTCATAACCTGCAGGGGAAAAACGGTCGGAGGTTATCCTCAAATTCAGGAGAATGAGCCGGAAGGACAGGTCTGCCTTGACGAGAGGTGGCCAACAGTGAATGTCCATCATCCACTGCCTCCCTCACCCTTTCTGAGGTCCTAGTGTGTGTTAAGTTTTGTGCTGGGCACTGGGGAGGTAACTTAAAGGTTCTGGTGTTGAAGAACCAGAGCATGAAAAGTGAGGGTGATCGGTGTGGTACGAGAGGAAGCCTTGGGGCTGCGGAGCTCAGAGGAAACGCTGGACCCAGCTTGCAGCAGGGGTCCAAGGGGGTAGGGAAAGCTTTCCCGAGGAGGCGACATCTGAGCTGATTCCTGAAAGATGTGGAGTTAGCCATGGAAGGGGAGAAATGGCATTCCAGGAGGTGGACCCTGAACAGACAAAGGCAGGGAGGTGAGACCTGGGCTACCTCAAGCAGCTGAGGCTTAGGGTACAGAGTGGGAAAGGCTGAGGATGAGGCAGGAGGGCACTGAATGTCAGGATCAGGAGCTCGGCAATGGGGAACCAGGGCAGAAGGAGAGCAGGAGAGGGACCTGCCTCTGCCCAGATGTATGTCTGGGAAAACTAGTGGAGGGTGGGCTGGAGGGAGCTGGAGGGTTGTCCAGGAGATAGCTGAGCACAGAAGGCTGGGGAGACAGGAGTAATGCCCGAGAGTCCAAGGAAGAGTGAACAGGCCTCAGGTCCATCAGATGTGTGATGAGGGAGCAGGTAGGAGTCTAGGCAGGCACTTGGGTCTCAGCCCAGCTGAGACAATGGGAAGAAGGGGCCTTCCTGTGCTGTGCTTCATGCAGTCTCCCTCCCTTGAAGTCAGAAGGAATCCTCCAGCAGCCTGGGTGGGCCAGCTAGCTCCTCTCAGAGTCCCCCGGCCCTCAGTCACTCACCCCGTTCAACTCAAAGAGCTCTTCAGGAGTCTTTTTAGTGACATTGGACAGCACGCAGATGACAGCCGGTATGGAAACCGTGGCCTTCTTGTTCTGGAGTGTGAAGGTGGGAGCTTCCTTCACCCGCAGTGAGAGTAGGAGGTGCTGGCCTGGGGGCAACTTCCCGAGCGCCTGGAGAGAGGCAGGGCAGAGCAGGGGTATGGGGGCAACTTAGACGCCCCGGTAATAGAATCGATCAGGCAGTCAACACTCCTGAGCACCTACTGTGCGCCAGGCACCGTGCTGAGTACTGACTTGACAATCTGAACCTGAGAGGTCTGACATTCTGGTGGGGAGACACCAACCCATGGAACACCGTATCTTAGACTCTCCATTTCACTCAGGGTCAAAGTCCTCACCCAGGCTCTCAAGGTCCTAGGTGATCTGTCCCCTGCCCTCCTCTCGACCTCACCTCCTTCCACTGTCCCCCGCATTCTCTCCTCTCTGGACTCACTGGCCACCTCGCTCACTGTTCCTCCAACCTGCCTGGCAGCTGTCACCTCAGGGCCTTTGCACTTGCTATTCCTGCTGCTTGGAATGGTCTTCCCCAGATATGGCATGGTTGCCTCTCTTGCCTCTTTCAGGCCTCTGCTCAAATGTCTCCTCCTCAGTGAGGCCTTCACACCCCCTCCCCCACTCCTAATCCACCTTCACCACTCCATTCTCCTCCACGTTCTGTCAGTGTTTATAATCTATTTACTAGTTCGGTGCCTGTCACCTGCTCGTCCCCCTCCCCCACTAGAATGGCAGCTTCTCAGGCACAGGGGCTTTTGTCTATTTTTCGCCTTCTGCCCCTTCTGCATCCTCAGCACCTAGCACAGGTCTTGGTACATAGTATGTGCTCAATAAATATTAGTTGATTGACAGAATAAATGATACGACTAGGAAATTCTGAGACATAGAATCGCCGCCCTCAGGACACTTGAATGGTGGAATTTGGGGACCAATTCCTCAAGCCCAGGCTCCCAGAGTTGCAGGGTCATAAAGAGACAGAGAATCACCAGATTCCACCGCCATGTGTCTACAGGATCTGGAGCCATAGAAGCAGACGCAGAGCGGGTGCTGTGCGGTTCTGATGCTCGGAGGCCAGCGAGTGGAGAACAAAGGCTTCAGCCTCCAGTGGCAAGTCCAGCCTCCCCGAGCTGGAGGGACACTTCCCGCATCCACATGTCCCTGCCTGCTGCCCCTACTTCCCCCAAGTCTCTCAGCTATCTTACAGCCCCTGCCCTCAGAAGGTTCTTCTCAGTGTCTAACCTCAATCGGTCCTTGCCTACGACCCCACTGCCATTTAGCCAAGGAACTCCAACCACACGCACCAAGAGGGCTTTGCGTCACCACCTGCAAGGACTCACAGAGCTTGTCTTCTGCCTCCCTAAACTCAGCTGCCCCTTCCACCCCCTCCAGTGGAAAGCCAGGCCCTCTGGGCCCCTTTCCAACCTTTATTAGAATCTGCTATTTCGTAACGACCTTGTAGTGGTCATTTCGTCAGTATGAATTCAGAGTCTCACAGCTGGAAAGTAGCTAGTCCAGTCCCAGTTGAACAGATAGGAAAGCTGAGGCCGGGCCCTCCTGTCACATACTGATGCCCACCAGCCAAATCTCCCTGACTCTTCTCCCTTCTCTTCCCTCCCTAAGGCCAGTACGCTGAGTCTTCTCTCTGGGGACAGAGATCAGGACCAAGTAAGGCAGTTGAGGGAGAGGGCTCCGTAACCAGCAAAGAATCCCCCCATCCTGTCCTCTGCCTGACAAAGAAGGAACAGCCACAGGGTGAATGCCCAGTTGACTTCTGGCACAGCCAAACCCTGGCCTTTCCTCTCCAAGGAAAATCTGCTGCCAGGAAACAATAAGATATTGGTCATTCACACTTTAGGGTGAATTTGGACTCGATATTCAAATACAAGCTGCCCAGAGTGCTATATTAAGAACGATTTTAGAGTCTCACTCACTCATCAGATCTGCAATGATCAAAGCCCATACCTCCCAAATAGGAGAGGGTCACTCACCTCAGGGACCAGAGCCACCAGGTCCGTGGTTGTCAGTGGGACGTTGCTAGGAACCTGGACCCAAGACCAAATGGGAGGAGGTATGAACACAGCAACAGGACGGGAATCTCTCAGCACGCACAGCGTAGTTCTGTCCACACACAATACTAATTATACACACATCCCTACAAACACCCATGCTTGTTCTATCAGCCTTCGATCACTGAGTGCTTACTACACGCCAGGCACATGTCAAGGGCTTCTCATGCTTCTGCTCACTTCACCTTTACAACAGCTCAAAGAGGTGGATGCTATGATTACCCCCCTTTTACAGGTGAGGAAACTGAGGCTTCCGCCCAGGGCCCTACAGCAGGTAACTTTTAACCAGAACTTTTTAACTACTCTGCCAGAGCTCCAAACCTGAAGGTCCAGGGATCAGATCTGATCCCAGACATTTTTGCTTTTTACCCAGACAGTATTTTCAAAAACTACAGATTTGCTTGCAGTATTTATGTATCTGGAAGTTGCATACAAACTTGCCAGCTTCTGGCTAAAAAGTGGAAAATCTGGTCACACTGGCCCTGTATCCCCTCCCCTAGAGGCAGCTGAGTGGCAGCCACACAAGAGATGGGGCCCAGGTCCCCCAATTCACCGCAGTCTCACTGGAACTGTTTCCCTTGTCCTGCCACCTGGCCAGCCCCCATAGCCCTGGGGTTTGAGACACCTGAACTGCACATCAGCTTCTCAGAACAGACAGTTCTCACAGAATAAACACACAGACACACTCTCTCCTGGTCAGAAGGACTCCCAGACACTCACCCAACGCTCAGCTATCCCCCTTTGGGGGTGGACAGCACCCAGGATGGGGCCTCTGAGATCCCACTCTCTCATTACAACACTCACATGCACACACTCACGCCCACAGGCTGCTCACACACACACCGTCTCTCACATGGAGCCTTCATCTGACTATGACTCCTGTAGCAAGAAGACGCCCGCCTCCACTCAGGGCCTTCCAAGAGGCCTTCCCAGAGGCCTTCCAAGTACTCTCTGGACCCCACCTCCAGGGAGACACCAAGCCCTGCTCCACTGGGTTTGAACTTCGGGTAGGGAGCCCAGAGTGTCAGAATTCACTGCCTCTGGAGAGGGCTGAGACCAAGAGAATGCCTCTGGGTGGGGCTTCTGGGGACTGGGCCTTCCAGACATCTGTGAGGATGTCAAAGGGGCCAGAATTGAAGCAGGGAGGTCTCAGAAGCTTCAGAACAAATGTCCAAGTGACCTTTGGCTCAGTCCAACCCTAGTTTTCTTCTCTCCAACTCAAATTTGCAGTAGGGATGTTAACCATTGACACTTTAGTATAAATTGTGGCTTCAACTCTGGAAGGGCTCATCTGGTGCAGGGATAGAGAACCGGCTTCATTTCATATGCTAGTTCTAACCAATTGAAAGTGGCATCCCAGAGTGATGTATTGAGAAGGATTCAGAGGTCTCGTTCAGGTTTAGCCAAATCGAGGGCCATGATCAATTAGCAATGTGTGCCACAAGTACAGGAGTGGGCAGCAGCCGTGTGTATGCTATAAACTTGTCCAACTCCTAGGACAGAGAAAGGGGCTCGGCAAGACTGCGCAGGAATGATGTGACTAGGTCAGTGTTGCATTGCCAAGACACGACAAGGCAGGGAGCCCCCATCCCAGGGTCCCCTGCTGCCACACTCACCAGCTCAGGGGTGATGTCCATGTCAAGAGCACCGTTGGTCTGCAGGAGTCCAAACATGGTGTTGAAGAGGTACAGTGGCACTGTCACTTGGGATGTGTGGTCCTCCTTCGGGGGGATCTTGATGGGCTTAGGGGGCTTGGGAAAGTCGATGATGTCACCAGCTATGCTCTTCACGATGGGCTGCAGGTGCAGGAGATAGGATATGGGAAGGTCTCGGGGCTGCTCACCCACCCAGCCTTGACCCAGCATCCCCTACACGGCCCCCACCAGAACCCCACCCCACCCCCAGCTTCAGGCAGGCTTCCGCAGGCACTCACGTTGAAGTCCAGCTCTATGTACTGGTTGGAGATGAGAGGCAGCGTAGCCAGAGAAAATTCCACTGACCCAAGAGCCCCAAGGGGTACCAGGCCTGCATGGGGTTGGGGGAGCCAAGAGAAAGACTCCATGAGCCCAGGCTCCAATAATAACAGCCTCTATCTCCTTCTATTGAGTTCCTACTAAATGTCCAGCACTGTACTATGTATTCACTTGAGTGCTACTGTCATCTCATTTTACAGATAGAAACTGAGGCTCAGGCAAAGAAATTCAACAGCCAAGGCCATCCAAGCCACGGAGTGACAAAGCCAGGATTCAAACCCAGGCTTGCGGGTCCTTCAGAGCTGGTGCCATTAACCATGTTGCTGCCTGGCCTCTCTCATGTAACACCACAGATAGAGACATATCTGCACCAAGTTTTCTATCCTTATCCTGGTTATGCCTTCTTAAACTTTTCAAAGCCCTTTTGTGAACACATCTGTGTCTCCACAGGGCTCAAGGAGACTGGAGTCTGCTGAGGCTTTAAGCCCTCTAGGCCTCTGTCATCTTGTCTGTCCAGTGATGACATTAGTGATAATATCTGCCTCATGTTTCTGACAGTGCTAGATATACTGCAGGTGCTCAGTAAATGCTGGCCTGAAGCCTCCCACTAGACGGAGAACTGCAAGGCTCCGAGTCCCTGTGCCCTGCTGAACCGGCCTCAGCTCAGGGCTCCACCACTAGGCCTTCTCAAAATGGCTGCCTTGTCAGTGTGAGGAGGAAGTGAAAGATTGCAGAATTCTTCCCACTTCCCTTAGTACCCCCACACCCTTGGCAGTGGGAGGGAGGGGGAATGGGGCACAGAGGAGGGGGTTGGGCCCCAACTTACTCAGCACAGAGCCCAGGAGCTCATTCATCACACCCAGCACACTGTCCACCATGGGGCAAAGCTACGTCGGGAGAGACAGACATCGCAGGAAAAACAAAAGTGAACACCAGCTTGGCACAGGGGCAGCAGCATTTCCTTTCAGTGATTTGCTATGTGGTCCCAGGGACCAAGGCCAGGTGGAATGTGGACACTAGCAGGGGACACAAGGTGTGAGGCAGAGGAGGGGCTGGAGCCTGGGCTTTGGCTTGAAGTCTCAGAAGACAGAGTGAGGAGAGCAGAGGGCTGGGGCCCCCAAGCCCTGCTTCCCTTTGTTATACAGGTCCCATCAGTAAACCCCAAAAGATGCTTGGTGGGGGGAAGGGGGTGACACATTTCAGAGGCTGGTTAGGGTGTGGGGACAAGGTCTTCCTTTGATAAATCAAAGATGGCTGTGGTTCCCTTTGAGGTCTCAGGCCCCTCCTGCCATCCCCAGGTGGGCACGGGGAGGCCAGAGCCCTGGGGTTCCCTGGGACTCCTAGAATTATGGCCCCCAGAGGGGAGCCTCCTCCCCTCCACCAGAGAGACAGGCCTGACTCCAGGGTGTCCACCACCCATGTCACTGTGTGTTTCTTGAAAACCCCTGCGCCATGAGAACCGGGGGGGCGTGGTCAACTTCCAGAGCCCTGAGGGTAGGAATCGCAGAGTGGGAGGTCCACAGTCCACCGGAGTCCAGCCCCTTCATTCTACAGCTGGGGAGAGCCAGGCCCAGAGAAGATGGGCAACTTGCCCGAGGCCACACAAGACCCAAGGCCTCTCACAGAGAGACAAGAGGGCTGCGGCGCTTAAACTTAGGGCCCCAAACCCCGGGGCCTCTGAGGTCAGGCGCGTCACAGAATCCAGAGCAGGAGGCCAGAAGGGGCTGTGCTGGGCAGGGAAGCAGTCCCCTTGGCGCCAGCCATGTATGACCTGCAAGAAGGAGGCTCCAGGGTGGTTGGGTTAGCTAATTGCACGAGAGAAGCCAGAAGGAAATCCAGATTGTTAAGAGAAATCTCCAATTTCTAAATGTTGGCAATGAACTCTTATTTAAAAACCTCTTTCGAGCCACACAAAACCCGTCTTCTAGCCCATTTTCCCAGGGACCCAATTTAAGGGCTGTGTGTAAATGCACCCGCACCCCTGTATTGAAATCCACCTGAGAGTGCCTGGGGAGAAGCCCCCCCACCCCACCCCCCCGCCCCATGAGAGTGTCTCACTTCTCCTGCTGAGCTTCTTTAAGCCCTGGACAGGTCTGCCAACCTTCTGCCCATCCCTGCCAGCCCCATTGCAGACATTCTTCCCAAGGACTTACAAGGAAGATACAGGCAGGCCTGGGAGCCAAGAGGCTTTGACACCCCTGCTGGCTGTGTGGCCCCGGCAAGTCCCTGACCTCTCCAGCGTCAGCCAAGTCAGTGTTGGGCCAGACCAGCTTTCCTCAAGTGTGGTTTGTTTGCCCCAGTGGAAGCCGGGAAGGCCATGGACAAGCATCCTTGGTCAGTTTAATCATAATGTGTCTAATTTCTGATACTTTAATACACACATATATGATTTTCTGGATGTGATTGCTAAGCACAGGGCTCAGTTTAAAATCATTAAGTGAATCACTTTAAGGGGAATTAATTTAAAGCTAATTTACAGAAAAAAATCAAGTCAATAATAATACAAGTAGCAAAAATAGAACAGGTAGTAAGAAAATAACTTGAATTTGGGAGCAGAGACTCAGGCCATCTGGTGTTGTAAACTCAAGGCTCTGATGTCTAGGGGCCAGATCCACCCACAGACACAAAGGTGTGAGCCGGGGAAGCCGAGGGGCAGGCCAGGATGGGATTACCCAGGGGTGTGGAAGGGAAGTACAGCCTAATCCGGCTGGCGCCAGGCCTTACATAAAGCTGAGTTTGGGGAGGGGGGAGTGGGGGGGAGTGGGGGGGCACAGCCCAGGGGGAGGAGCATGCCCACTGCAGCCCCCACACTTACCAATCCCGGCAGCACCTTGGAGAGTGTCTGTTCCACGACCCCAAAAAGCGGTGCCGGCAGCAGCCTAGACAGAGCAAGATGTGTGAGGGCATGACCACTGCATGGGGGAGCACCAGCCTGGATGACAGATGGGAAGGGTGGGCACTGGGGGCTCTGCATTTCTCCCATCTCCTCTCTTGGTGCGATTGGCTGGGTCTTTGGATTTAAACCCAGCCATGGACCCTGGGGCATTCCTTCCCCAATTGGCTTCCGTTTCCCCATCTGCACAATGCCCACCTCATGGAGTTGTTGCTGCCAAGATTAAGTTGGAGCACAGTTGTGTCTGGTATACAGTTAGTGCTCAGTAAGTGTCTGTTCTCTTTGTGTCCCCCAACATTTATAAATAAGTGACATACGGGCCTAGAACAGCACCTGGCTCAGAATAGGGGCTCAATAAATATTTGCTGAAGGAATGAATGAATGAATGAATGAATGAGGGAATGGCCTGAGGATGGGAAGTACATGTAGACGGACTCAGGTCTGTTTGGAGACTATGAGGTGCAGGCCTGGGGTGGCACCCTCAGGATCATAAACACAGGATGCCAGCACCATCCTGGGCTCTGCTCCTGCCAGCCCAGAGGAGTAGGGTGGAGCTGCTGGAATTTAAGGAGCCCAAAGACCTGGCCTGACATCCCCTTACTAAGGTGCTTCTGGAGGCAGGAGCAACAGGGCCATTTAATCTGGCTAACCCCATTCCTAGGAGCTAACACGGAACCATCTGGTTACCCTTCGCTGTCCAGGGCCACCCAGCAAAGATTGAGGGTGATTGGGGGTGTAGGATTCAGTCTGGAGTGTAGAAGCTAATGGGGAGATACAAGGTGTAAGGCAGGGGAGGGGCAGGTGTGGCTGGAGGTGGGTACAGAATGCTGGGGGAAAAGCCTTGGTCCTGAGTTCCCAGACCAGCCTCATCTCCATCTCTGACTCAAACTCTGTGTATGTGACCTTGGGCAAGTCCTTTTCTCTCTCTGGGCCAAGGTTCAACCGAAGTGTAGTGAAGGAACTGGGTTGCACATGGGGACACTGAGACCCACACAGGGGACCGGGCTCCCCTGTTGTCACAGAGCAAGTCAGGGGCAGAGCTGGCTGTTCTGATGTGCCGGGAGCAGGGATTGGAATCCCTGCGGATAGATCCCAGATGGCCCCGGACCTGCTCTACCTGGAAGAAGGGGCATCGAACCCGGAGGCTGGAAAAGGGGTGGGGGGGCCGGCCTTAGGATGGGCGGCGCAGGTTGCACGCTGGTCAGAGAGACCTAGTGTTTAGGGACCTCAGTCTGTCGGTCCGCGCATAGGGTGGAATCTGGCGGGGCCGGCGGGGTGGGGGAGTCCTTTCAGGCCCCGCCCAGCCAGTTGCTAGCGAGGAACCGAGGAGACACCCCAGGTACGCGCGCCAAGTGAACCGAGCGAGTCAGGGGAGCGGGGCAGCGGGCTTGAGCCTGCGACTCACCCCGACAGCACGCTGATGTGGCCCAGGAGCGTGCTGCAGCGCTTGAGGATGAGGATGGGCGTGCCTCGCGCACTCATGCCCAGCGCCACCCGCGACGACACGTTCACCTCGGCCGCCAGCTGCAGAAGGCCCCCCAGGGGGCTGCAAGAGCCGATGCTGAGGACGTGGCCAGGCTGCGGGCCCCACCTGCCAGGACTTGCCCCAGCGGCACCCACCCGGGGCTGCCCCTTGCCCTCCCAGCCGCGTCTGCGTGAGCCCTAGTCGACTCCCTCCACCTTTTGCCTCACAGCCCCATTCTGCAAGTCCCAGCGCCTCCTCCATCCCCTCTGGCGATCCCCAGGCACAAGGGTAGAGATCTGGGGGACTGCAGGATAGAAGTCCCTTGGGGGCAATGGGTGGAGGTCCCTGAGGGGGCGGTAGTGGGATGGAGTCCTGGGGGAGTAGTGGGGTGGGGAGTCTCTTGAGAAGGAAATAGAGCAGGCGTGGGAGGACAGTAGGGTGGGGGTGAGGGGGACAATAGCATAGTGGCCCCCCATGGGACACTGGAGTGTGTGGGGAGCCATAAAGTAAGGTCTCCAGGGCAACTCACCCAGAGCCATGCAGGCCCACCTTGGTGTGCAGGCTCAGCTGCACCCCGAACCCTGGCAGCAGTTTCAGAGACACCTGGGGCAGCCTGAGCTCCTCAATCTTCAGCCTGGAGTGGACGGCAAGGAAAGAGCCTTCATTCCCAGACACTCCAGAGCCACCAGTCCAGTAGTGCCTGGACCATCCCAGACTAGGCAGGGCCCAGAGCCTGTCTTGGCTGTGTCCACCTTACCACCCCTAACCCATAGAACCAAGTGTGGGCCCTTGGGCCTGTTACTTCGCCTCTCTGGGTCTCAGTTTCCTCACCTATGAAGTGGGCTGATGCTAGTACCCATCTCATAGGGGTGTTGCAAAGACAACGCAAGATGATGCAGGTGCAGAAGCTGGTGCAGCAGGAGCTCAATAAAAGTCACAGCATCATCTTCATCATTGGAGGCTCAATCCCGGTACAACCTCTAGCCTTGATCATTTCTTTCCACCCCCATCTAGGCTCACACAGAGCAAACCATACACAACTTGAAGGCAGGGAAGGGGATAAGGAGACACTGGTCAGGGCAGGGCTCTTGAGCAGAGACCTGAAGGAGGTGAGGGATGAAGACAGGCAGATACCTAGTTTAGCCCAGAGAGACTAAGCAACTTGCCCCTGGTCACACAGTGAATAACTGGAATTGACCCCAGAGTTGAAACCCACAACCACAGTGGCACGGCCCTGTTCCTGTTCTGCCTGACACACAATAGACTTGCTATTTTCAGATCCTAGGACTCCCTACCCAATGCCCCCTGACACCCTGATACCCTCCACTGCCTGCTAACAAATTAGAAATAGTCAATCCCTTCTCTACTCCCTGAAGCAAAGACCAGACCAACCCTCCTCTAGGGCATGTATTAAATGGGCAGCCAAGAGGCCCCACTGTGGGTACTCACCCAGAGAGCTCCTCAACGACGCCAAAAACCCCTCCAGAGCTCAGCAGGCCGCCTCCTCCAAGCAGCCCTCCTGAGCCCAGGAGGCCCTGATTCACTGATGTGACCGTCCCCAGCACATTCTGCAGAACGGGCCCCCCGACCAGCGAATTCTGGATGGCTGCAGAGAGGATGGGGATAGGAAAGAGCTGGAAATTCCTAGGCCACCCCCAGGACCACGGCAGCCGCCCTATTCTGAGCATCAGTCAGACCCCATTTTCTAATGGAACTGACCCAGAGGTTACATTCAAATAGTAGAAACCACTAAGCCTGCACTGCAGGGTGGGCGGCCACTCACACTGCATGACACATGCAAGGTGCTCAGGAAGTGTTTGAATGAATGAATGAGTTGCATGACAATCCCTTCATGTTACAGATGGGGAAACTGAAGCCCAGAGAGAGGCAGACACTTGCCCAAAGTCACACAACAAATCGAGTATGACTAGGACTCCTGACCCCAGCTGCCCTGCAACACTGCAAGGAAGGGCAGAACCAAAGGAGAGGAAGCACAGCAGCCACCAGGGACGTGATTAAGATGGAGGAGGTGATCCTTGCTCCCCCAGGGGCACCCCAGACCTGGCTCTGTGAGGCTTATGAGAAAGGCAGAACACAAGGGACCTCTCCGTGGAGGTGGGGTATGGGGAAGGCCAAGCTGGCCTCCCTAAAGCATTTCCTGATCATGACTGCCCTACTCCTCCCCAAGACTGTCACCCTGAGCTGTTGGGCCTTGAAGTACCAAATGCCGAGTAGAGAGTAGAGTTCCCCTACCCCAGAAATGTGGGGCAGAGGCACTGACGTGGCCAGGCCCTTCCCCTTCACCTCCTCAACCCTCCTCCATGCCCATCCCAGAGCCAAACGCAGCCCCCATGTAGCCACAGCCCATATCCACCCAGTTCACAGCTCAGAAGAAAGTGAATTAATCACCCATTCCAATCTGCAAAGCAAACTTATAACCGTCTGAAGAAACTCAGCCACTTCCAGTGTCCCAGGAAAATATGCTCCCCAAGCAGTTGAGAATCTCAACTTGTTCTCATCCATTCTAAGTAGATCCTTAAGTATGTCTATTCAACAAACTGCCCACCTCAGGCTCACCTTTGCCGAGCTCATCCTTGTCGATCCGAGCGAGCGTGCCCACTGTCTCGAGCAGCCCCTGGCACGGAGTTGCTAGACCCCAGAGAAGAAGCAGAGACCACAAGCCCAACATCATCAGCCACACCTATAAGGAGGCAGAAGAAGGAGCTCCTGTACCCAAGCTTTTCCCCTGTTCCTTCTCATCACCAACCTCGGGCCCTCCACCCCACCTGGCACAGCCCAAGTCTGGCTTCACTCCCAGGAAATCCCTCTCCATCCAAATGCAAGCCACGCTAACATACATGCAGCACAGTACACTTCCAGAGCGCTCTGAGGTCTACAAGGCACTTTCCAAGCCTCTCCCTCATTGCATCCCATTTTACAAATAGGAAAACTAGGCAGAGAGAGGGATGAGGACTTGACCAAGGTCACAGAGCTAATCAGTGACAGGGTGAGAATTCCAGCCCGTGTCCATCTGACTTCCAGAGTCTTCGTCCTCTGGGGCCCCATGAGCCTGGGCTGCTCTCTGGAGGGACAGCTACAGAGGGGCCATCCCTTCCAGGACAGAACGCCAAGAGCTTTAGTTCTTGGACCTGCTTCCTGTTGGCTTGCAAGACCATTTCAAAAGGTGTGGCTGATTGGGAACACCAAACACTTAGACTTAACATGCCCTGGTCTCTCTTTCGTCCTCCTCCACTCCAACTCCAACATTGCTAGAGAAAGGAATGGGATGGGAGGCAAGAGATTTGTTAAGCCAAAATGCACAGCTAACTTACCAGTTTCATAGAGTGGAATTTTTATTTATGGAATCCATATCTGCCCACCCAATCACATATCCATGTAACCCCTCAAGTCTCCCTGCTTAAGCCCTTCAATGGCTCCCCACTGCTCTTGGGATAAAACCAGGCTCCTTGCCATTATGCACAAGGCCCCTGCCTGCCTCTTTGACCTCCTTAGTTTTCCTTAAACATGCAAAGCCCTTTCCCACCTCAGGACTTTGCACGTACTGTTCCTTCTGTTAGGAAGGCTCTTCTGGTTCTTTGCAAGACCGACTCCTTATCCTTCAGGTTCCAAAGAATAGGTCACCTCCTTGGAGAGGACTCCCTGTTTCACCTTGTCTAAAGAAGCCTGTCTGTCGCTAAACATCTCCCAGAGTATTTCTACTAAGGCACTTAACACAGTTTGCAATTATACTTCGTTTTTTTGTGTTCTGGTGTATCATCTCTGTAAGCTCCCCGAGGGCAGGAGCTGTGTCCAGGGCCTCCTGCATGGTTGTACATTCTGTGTGCTGCAGGGGGCGCCTGCCAGGGAGGCATTGTTGTTGATAGTTGCCGTTGAGTCGGTTCCAATTCATGGCTCCCTCATGTGTGCAGAGTAGAACTGCTCCATAGAGTCTTCAAGGCTGTGATCTTTTGGAAGCACATCACCAGGCTTATCTCCCAAGGCTCTCTGAATGGATTCAAACTGCCAACCTTTCGGCTAGTAGTCGAGTGCTTAACCCTTTGTGCCAGCCAGAGATCCTCCAAGAAGGCGAGCGAGGATGGAATCCAGCCGCACTTCACTCTCTAGCCGTTTGCCCTGGCTCAAGCTGTCTGCCCAGAGAGGGCATCTTTTCCTTATTAGCACAAAGGTGCCCTATGAGGGTCGTATGAGCGAGCAACAACCTTGGCCGTGTCTGTTTTGTTTCCACTGGACTGATCCCAAAGTGGCTCCTGTAGCCTTCAGGTCTCATAGAAGGAAATGTACTCACAATGGGAGACCAGTTGGCTCCCATGACTGAGAGAGAAATGGCACTCCCTGAGCCCTGTCATAGATTCTGTACCCAGCCCATCCAGTCCTGCCATGACCTTGTACAAGAGCTTTTGCCTCTCTCTGGACCTCAGTTTTTCCATCTGTAAAATGGGTTTTTCCCCCTCCTGTCACCCAGTTTCCTCCTAGGGATGAATTCTTTCCATGCCCATTAATCAGGTGGGGGCAGCAGGAAGGTCACAGGGTCAAAAGCTGGGAAGAGGGACAAGGCTGGGCAGCTTCAGGCTGACTTACCCGCTCCTGCAGCTCCTCGAGGGGTGGGTGGGGGCTCCCAACCTCCTGTCGGCTCCTCCACCCGCCCAGGCCCAGAGGTGGCCCTTATATGTCCACAGCGGCTCTGGAGACACAAAGGGGGCACAGCCGCCAGAAATCCGTCAATATGTCATGTCAGAAGCAAATTGCGGTTTTCCCTGAGGGCCTGGACTAAGCCTTCCTTCTGGGGGAAGAGTGGCAGGGAAGTGAGGGGCCTGGGGTCGGTGCCCAGAGCTAGAGGCGGGGGTGGGGCTCTGCCACCTGCCCGGTCAGCTGCACCTATAGGGTCTCCCTCCAGGTTTCCCCAAGAGCCGCCCAAATGGCACAGAATCCAGCCTGCTACTCCCCGCCCCCAACTGAGGCCCTGTTCAGGCCTAGCAGGAAGATGGCCCTGAGACCTGGAGAGAGGCACTGTCAGCTGAGTTGGGGAGGGACACCATCTCCACCCCCACCTCCCAAGACCCAGTGTCCCTGGGGCACCAGAGCAGGCTGCTTTTATCCCCTTCCAGAGGCTGGTCCAGATGACAGTGGTTAGAAAATCTTCATTCATCCATTTCTTCATTCGTTCTGCAGGAGGTGCTTATGGAGCATCCAGTATTTGCTAAGTGCCGGGGATACAGCAGTGAACCAGGTGACAAACTCCCAGCCCTCAAGGAGCTGGCTGCTAGAAGCACAATGCAATTTTTAATTTTCTAGTAGCCACATTCAAAAAAAGGCAAAAATAATTTAAAAATAGGCAAAATTAATTTTAGTAGTATATTTTATTTAACCCAGTATATCCAAAATATTATCATTTAGCATATAATCAATATAAAATTATTGATGAGCTAACTTACATTCTTTTTCTAATACTTAAAAAAAAAAAATTCTCATTGCCATCGAGCTGATTCCGACTCATAGAGACCCTATAGGACAGAGTAGAACTGCCCCATAAAGTTGCCAAGGAGTGCCTGGAGGATATGAACTGCCAACCTTTTGGTTAGCAGCCAGAACTCTTAACCACTGCACCACCAGGGTTTCCTTTCTCATATGGAGTCTTCCAAATCCACTCACACCACACCTTCATTTGGACTCAGCACATTCCGAGCTCAATAGCCTCACATGACAATAGGCCATCATATTGGACAACACAGCTCCATAGGGAACAAATAACACATCGTATAGTGAGTCAGAGCTGATGAGAAAAGAAAGCAAGGGAGGGGTGCGGGGGGGGGGGGTGCAGCTTTCAATATGGTGGTCAGGGGAGGCCTCATGTTCGAGCAGGGGTGCTGTTGGCCTCGATGAGGCAAGCAGGGGAGCCAGGTGGATGTCTGGGGAAGAGCCTTCCAGGCAGAGGGAACCCCAACTACAAAGGCCCTAAAGTGGAGTGTTCCAGGAACAGCAGGAAGGCCAGTGTGGCTGAAGGAGAGAGGGTGAGGGGCAGTGGGGGAGATGAGGCGAAGGTGTGGGGCCCCATAGGTTAGTATAAGGACCATGGCTTCTACTTACAATTCTTCTGCAAGTGCTGGCTTAGGTATCACCTTCTCCAGGAAGCTTCCCTGACCCCCAAACTGGGTGAGGCACCACCTCGCCCCACACAGCTCCCTGGGATTCCCTCTCTTGGAGCTTGCGATATGCTGGGTGGTAGCTGTGTATCTGTGTGTTTGTGGTCTATCTCCTGCATGGGGTCAGGAAGGAAGCAGGGAGGTAAGGTGGGCCAGGAACTAGGTAGCAGTTTCCTCCCTTCTAAGAGGCCAGGCTGGACAGTGGTTAAGACGGCAAGTGTGGGAGGCGGGGGTGGCATTTGCTTCATTCACCCCAATAGCCTCCAAACCTCTGACCCTACAATGTTCATCCCGAGGGTTACTCAACAAAACCACCCTTTTTTTTTGTAAATAAACTTTTTTGTTTTTTTAAGTTTTATTATATAAAGCATGTACAGAAAAGGGCACAGCGCAACAAATTTTTATAAATTGGGCACTCCAGAAGCCCTCCCCTCATGTGTTCCCTCAAAGTCACTGCCCCCAAGGTAACCACTATCTGACCTCTAACACAGTGGATGAGGTCAGTATGTTCTTGAGGGTCACATAAACGGACTCACATACAGTGTACTCCTTTGAGTGTGGTTCTTTCACACAATGTTGTTGCGGTTATTGTTACCTATTGTCAAGTTTGTCCCCAACTCACTGTGACCCCATGCACAACAGGATCAGACCATTGTGATCCATAGCATTCTCACTGACTGACTTTTCAGAAGTGGATTGCCAGGCCTTTCTTCCTAGTCTGTCTTAGTCTGGAAGCTCCACTGAAACCTGTTCAGCATCACAAGCCTCCAATGACAGATGGGTGGTGGCTGTGCATGAGGTGCATTGTCTGGGAGTTGAACCTGCGTCTCCCCCATGGAAGTCAAGAAATCTACCACCGAACCACCACTGCCCCTCTTTCACGCATCGTTATTGTTGTTAGGTGCTGTTGAGTCAATTCCTACTCATAGCAACCCCATGTGACAGACAGAGTAGAGCTGCTCAATAGCGTTTTCTTGGCTATAATCTTTACGGAAGCAGATCGCCAGGTCTTTCTCTCACGGGGTGGCTGGGTAGGTTTGAACCACCAACCTTTCAGTTAGCAGTCAAATGCTTAGCCGTTTGCGTCGGCAGGGCTCCCATTCACCCATGTTGTATGTGCGGCAATGGTTTGTTTTTTTTTCTTTGCTATATACTACTCCATTGTGTGATGCACCCCAGCTTTCTTATCCATTCTCTAGTGAAGAGACTGCTGGACTGTTTCCAGTTGTTGGCTGTTATGAAAGAAGCTGCTATGAATTTTCTTGCCCAGTCTGTTTGTGAACATATGTTTTTACTTTTTATTTCTCTTGGGTGAAAATCTAGGAGTGGAGCTGCTGGATCACAGTAGCACAGGCACATGTTTAGCTCCGCTGGACCCTGCCCAGCTCCCCAGAGTGGCTGAGCCATTGGACGCTCCCACCAGCATTGCGTGAGAGCTACCGCTGATCCACATCCTCGCCAGCAGTAGGTACTGCCAACATTTTTAAGACATTTGTTTGAGAGACAAGGAAGGAAAGCTAACACCAAGTATTTA